AGGTCTTCCTGTGGCTGTCTTCTCTCAAGGAATTCCATATAGGCACTGTAATGCGAACCACCGTCATCCAGTAATGTACCCTCATAGGCAGTGATAAGGTCTCGGATAATCAGTGTCAGTGACGAGGCGTCAACTAGGGCATGGCTCACGTCAAGCCGGCAGTATACCTCGCCTGTGGCTGTCCTCAGTAGCGTTAGACGATGGGGAGGGTATCGAAGGTCTGAAACGTCAAGCGTTGGCTGGGAATCAAACCACTCAGCTACAGCTGCATCTGCAACCCCATTCTCACTGAGAATGCCAATATCCGGTTGCCTCAAGACAATCTGGATAAATCTCTCCTTACCTGGTAGCGGCTCAAGCAAGACAGTTCTGAGGATGGAGTGCCGCATAACGACCTGATGCCATGCTCCAACAAGCCGGTCGACGCTGACAGGTTGGTTTGCCGGATCCGACGACTTAATACGGCATGTGTGCTGGATGCAGTAGGTTGACGGTGATTGCACCTGTGTAAGCAGAATGCCTTGCTGGATTGGTGAACAAGAGAGAATATCTTCAATTTCAGTGATTGAAGAGAGACCAATAGAATTGAGGTATTGCCCCTCATTCACTAGCATGTCACTGTCAGACAGGTGTGCGAGCAGAAAGTCTGTTGCTGTAGCTGCCGGCTCTTCCGTAGGGATCTGCGTACTGTTGACAGAGTGCGTTTTTGTATCGTCTGCAGCTTCGACTCTCTGCGCTTGGGCCGCCAGACTGGGGATTGTCTGGCTGTCTAAAATGTTGCGTACAGTGACGAGAATGCCACGGGCCCGGCTGGCTGACACTACCTGCATTGCTGTGATAGAGTCTCCCCCAAGACTGAAAAAGGTAGTCAAGAATGTCACGTCTTGCAACGGAATGCCTAGTACTTCGCTCCATATCACCCGCAACGATCGCTCGACGGGTGTGGCCGTTGCCATTAGCTTCTCAGCATCTTCAGTCTCCTCAGTGCTGCCAGTCAGAGCTACTATTTGGTCTGGTGGCAACGATTGTACCCAGCGAGTGAGCGCAAGTCGATCCGTCTTGCCCGATGCATTTATCGGCACAGCTGCTAACGGGATCCAAATACTCGGCACCATATAGTGCATGACCTGCTGTGCCAAGTCATGCTGAGCATTGCGTAGCAGGATTTGAGCACCCTCCTTCTGGTCTTCAGGAATATATTTGACACCAGAGTTCTGATGGCGGCTTGCTTCCGAGGTCTCAGTCTCACTGAGGATGACAGCAGCAATAAGTTGACCAGCAAAGGGTCCTTGCCGCATATGAAGCACAACTGCATCATGGATACCGGCCTGCTTCCCTATATGGTACTCAATTTCGCCGACTTCCACCCGCTGGCCACGGATTTTGACCTGAGTGTCGTGTCGGCCCAGGTAGGTCAGTGATCCATCCGCATTCTGTTGCACTATATCACCAGTTCGGTACATCCGTCGGCCGGGGCTCAGGCCTAGCGCCTCCACAAATGGCGGATCTTGGATAAAAGAGGCCGCGGTCTTAGAAGGGTCGTTAAGGTAGCCCCGAGCCAGTTGGGGGCCTTCAATCAGCAGCTCACCAGGTGTGCCACGTGAAACCAGTTGGCCGATGCTGGCTGGGTTCACTACCCAGAAGATGCTCGCTAGCGGTAAGCCTATATTGCTTGCTTCTGATCTGTCCCTGATCTTGTTCCCCGTGGTGTGTATACAGCATTCCGAGGGTCCGTAAGCATTGATAACAGTGGCATGCCCAACCCACTGATCAATGACTCTGGGTTGCACAGCTTCGCCCATCAAAACGAGGGTTTGTACGCTCGTGCGTTGTGGCCGGATTAAGGCGGCTACTGTTGATGTCAAAGTAGCGATAGTGATATTAGCTTCTGATAGGAATTGCGTGAGCCGGTTCATCCGATCGTGTTCTGACGGAATACAGATGCATGCCCCCATTACAAGACTCGTCATAATTTCCTGAATAGCCACATCAAAGGTATACGCTGCAAACTGTGAGAGCCGGTCGTGGGGTTGGATACCGAATGCGCGCCCATGAGCAAGGATACTAGTTGCCAGGGCCCCATGTTCCAGCACAACGCCCTTAGGCATGCCAGTGCTGCCAGAGGTATAGATGACCCAGGATACATGATTAGGGCGGACGGACCTGCAAGGCTCAGCGGATGTCGTTATCACTGGAGTTGACGAAGCCGCATCAAAGAAGGAGTCCACGGCAAGTAACTGTGTATGCGCCGCCAGCGCCACCAGCCGCCGCTGGTGAGCGCGATCGACCAATACGATCGGCGCAGCTGTGTCGTTCACAATGCCCTCAAGGCGGGCTATTGGATGTTGTACACCGAGAGGGACCACGGCGCCGCCAGCGCGAAGAATAGCCAGTATAGCCACTACTCCTAACTTCGACTTATCCATACACATGCCAACCATCACCTCCGGGCCGATATTATGCTGGAGCAAGTAGTGGGCTAGCTGCCAGCTTGCGCTGTCTAGCTCATGATATGTCATTTCACCGTCCCACGCGCTGATAGCTGTTGCAAACGGCTGCTCAACCATCTTATCATGGACTAGATCATGAATGCAGCGGTCAACCTGGGATGGTAATGCTGAGTTCCACTTGCGTAGCTGGGCACTATCCTCCACGGACAGCAATTGTAACTGTCCTAGTGACTGCTCAGTCTCGGCATTTTGTGCTATCTGCTGCACAATGTGACTGAACTGGGTGAGCAGCCGTTGCGCATCATTAGGTGGCAATACTGCACGGTCGTAGCGTATGTCGATATGGACGTTCGTCCCCTGTCCTATCGTACACTCGACTGTCAGGGCGTAGGCGTCAAAGGCGTCCATAGAAGTGGTTTCACGCTCAACATCCATATGGAGCATGGGTGTTGCTGACTCCCTTTCTCCGGCTGGCTGAACCACAAAGATATGGCCGGGGTCAAACTCTGGTCCCAGGCCTGGAACTAGTTGCCGGATGTTCTGGAGACCAGTATGTTCATACGGAATCATCTCAGCCGCCCGGTTATATATATCAGCAAGGAAGCCTTTGACAGATTGCGCTTGGGAGGCTGATACATAGAACGGGACTGTAGTGATAGTTGGTGCTATAACATCTGTGATCCCATCAATTGGAGCCATACGACCAGACAGCACCACATTGATAACTGCCTCATCAAGCCCAGTATTTGTAGCGACAAGCAGGGCCCAGGCGGCGCGTAGGACGGTAGGTAGAGCAGTTGCTGCCGTTAGAGGAACGCAGAGGTGTTGCTGGAGTGCATGCCTTGGGTTGACATTGTTCTGCGGGGACAGCAAGGCTGGATAACGAGCCCAGTTGGCGCCTTCGAGATGTCCCCTCCAGAATATTTCTATTTCCTTTTTATCCTGCAGGGCCAGGTAGCGAATAAATCGTGATACAGGCACCGTGGCGGGCGGAGCCTCCCCTTTTAACAGTCGGGCGAGCAATTCAATTGTCTTGGCCATGCTCCAGCCGTCATAGACGCTGTGATGTGTTGTCCACACAAAGAACCGATTCGCTCTGTCCTCATTCGCCACAATTGCTGTACGACTGAGGACGCCACCGTATGTAATAGGGGTGGCTTTATCCATTGCAAGATAGTCGTCCAGTGATTTCCAGTCCTGCCAGACTGGCTGTGGCTGTGACCGTACTACAACTTGCAATGAATCAGCTTGTACTGAGGGGATAATGCGGGTTCGCAATATAGGCAAGCATTCAACCAGCCTTGTCCAGGCGGCTTTGAGCTGCTTGGTGGAGAGGTTAGACTGTAGTCGGAAGATCCGCTGAATAACATAGGCCTCGGGACGTTGTGCAGTGATCGCCATAAGCCCAGCCTGTAACGGGCTGCAGGGATAGATATCTTCAATCTGGTCAATAGAAACGTTACATTGAGCGGCAGCATCTGCTAATAGTCGTGTCTCTGCGGCCGCATCGTCGGCCTGGGCGAGCTCCGGCCACAAACTCAGCGGGGCTGGATCTTCACTATTCGCATGGCCATTCTCGAGGCCATGTTTCTCTTCTAAAGCAGCTGCCATATCAGCCAGACGGGGCCATCGGAAGATGTCAGCCACGGATAGGGGGATCTTTTCAGCCCGGGCTGCTGCTGTTAACTTCATAGCAATGACTGAGTCTCCACCAAGACGGAAAAAGGAGTCGTTCATCCCAACCGCTTCAGGCTCTAATACTAGAGCTGTAGCCCAGAGCCTCTGTAACGTTTCTTCCGTAATAGTAGTTGGTGCCTGCTTTGAGCCTGCCGAGCAGGAAACGTTGCTCAGCGACTCGCGGGACATCAGGAGCAGCTGATCCCGCACGGCCCGGCGGTCCAGCTTGCCGGAGGTATTGGTCGGGATCTTCGGCGAAAGTAAAAACACTGCTGGGACCATGTATGCTGGCAGGACCCGGCCCAAATCAGTGTCTAATTTCTTGAGGGCCTTGCGCGCAGTGTCCGTGATCTTTGCGGGATCATATAGCTCCAGCTCTCCGCTGCTGGATGGTCCAACATCGGGATATTCGACGACGGCCACCAACATCAATATGCCGTCATCGGGCTCCCCGGCTGGCGGCACCAGATCGACGATAGCCTCGCGTGCGTTTGGCAGCAGCCGCATAATCTGGCTCTCGATCTCTCCAATTTCAACTCGCTGGCCACGGATCTTGACTTGTGTATCGCGTCGGCCGAGGTAGGTCAGCGACCCATCCGGGTTCTGCTGTACCAGATCGCCAGTTCGATACATGCGACGACCAGGGCTCAGGTTCATTTCTTCGACAAATGCTGGATCTTTGATAAAAGAGGCGGCGGTCTTGACAGGGTCGTTGAGATAGCCGCGGGCCAATTGCGGTCCTTCAATGAGCAGCTCGCCCGGCGCACCGATTGGAACTAGTTGTATGCTGGCTGGGTTGACTACCCAGAACGTTGAAGCGAGCGGCTTGCCAACATTAAGTGCCGCTGATCTGTTCCAAATCTTGTTTCCTGTGGTGTGGATACAGCACTCGGATGGCCCGTAAGCATTGATGATATTGGCATGCTCAACCCATTGATCAACGACTTTCGGTTCAACAGGTTCGCCCATCAATACTAGCGTTCGTATGGTCGGGATATTTTGTGGCTGGATTAAGGCGGCTACTGTTGATGTTAAAGTGGCAATAGTAATCCCAGCCTCCGATAAGAAAGGTGTAAGACGGTTAACACGATCATCTTCTGAGGGAACGCAAATACATGCCCCCAGACAAAGGGTCGTCATAATCTCCTGGATAGCAACATCAAAAGTATATGCCGCAAACTGTGAGAGCCGGTCGCGTGGCTGAATATCAAATGCACGCCCATGAGCAAGGATGCTAGTTGCAAGTGCACCGTGTTCAAGTATAACGCCCTTAGGCGTTCCAGTGCTGCCGGAGGTGAAGATAACCCAGGCCACATTGTCGGGCTGCACAAATACACAGGGCTCGGCGGTCGGTATTGGGGACAACGGGGCTGTGTCGAAGAAAGAATCAACTGCAAGCAGCTGTGTATAGGCTGATAGCGCGTCCAAACGCTGCTCATGCATACGATCAACCAGCACGAGCGGTGCTGAAATATCCTGGACAATCCCCTGAATACGGGGCAATTGGTGCTGCACGCCGAGAGGGACCACGGCGCCGCCGGCACGGAGGATAGCCAGCATGGCCACCACTCCTAACTTCGACTTATCCATGCACAGCCCAACCATCACCTCAGGGCCTACGCCGCAGCCGGCGGACAGATAGTGAGCCAGCCGTCGGCTCGCTTCATGTAACTCGCCGTACGTCAACTCGCCATCCCACGCGCTGATGGCTGTTCTCTCCGGGTGGGCGGCCATCTCATCCAACACCAGGTCATGAATGCAGCGCTCAAGTCGAGGCGGAACTGTCGAGTTCCATTTGGACAACTGCAAACTGTCCTCCAAGGATAGTAGTTGCAGCTGTCTGAGCGGCTGCTCAGTATCTGTATTGTCTGACAGCTGCTGCACAATGTGACAAAGTTGGGCAAGAAGACGCTGCGCAGCATCAACGGGGACGACATCGCGATCGTACCGCAGCTCAACTGTAACATCACTAACATCTGATCCCACAGTACACTCGACTGTCAGGGGATAGGCATGAAAGTCATCCATAGAAGTAGCTTCGTCATATACATCCATACCCATATTGAACAATGGTGTCCCTGACTCGGTCTCTCCAGCTGGCTGGACCACAAAGATATGGCCAGGGTCGAATTCTGGTCCAAGCCCAGGAACCATGCGGTAAATGTTCTGGAGACCAGTATGTTCATATGGAATCATCTCAGTCGACCGGTTTTGCATATCAGTAAGGAAGCCTTTCACAGACTGCTCCTGTGACACTGATGTATAGAAGGGGACTGTAGTAATAGTTGGGGCTATCAATTGTGCAATCCCATTGATTGGTGCCATACGACCAGATAGTACCACATTAATAACTGCCTCGTCAAGCCCAGTATTTGTAGCGACAACCAGAGTCCAGGCGGCGCGTAGGACTATGGGGAGTGTTGCAGCTTCTGACTTCAGAGGGACGTGGAGATGTTGCTGAAGTGTATCCCTCGGGTTGACATAGTGCTTGGAGGATGGTAAAGCCGGATAACGAGCCCAGTTGGCGTCCTTAAGGTGCTTTTGCCAAAATGACGCTGTTTTCTCTTCATTTTGCAGGGTCAGGTAGGCAATGAATCGTGACACAGGGACCGGGACTGGCGGAGCTGCGCCTTGCAATAGCCGGGCCAGCAATTCCATTATTTTGGTCACACTCCAGCCATCATAGACACTATGGTGCGTTGTCCATATAAAGTAGCGGTCAGCTCCATTGTGAACAATACCCGTACGACTAAGCGCTCCGCCATAGGTAATTGGGTTGGCGCGGTCTGTTGCGAGATAGTCGTCGAGCGACGTCCCATGGTGCCAAACAGGCTCCTTCCTTAATACAACCTGAAGTGCATTACAAAGGACTGAGGAGATGACGTGTGTGCGCAAGATTGGAAGGGTTTCGGCCAGTTGCGTCCAAGCAGCTTTGAGCTGTTGAGTAGACAGTTTGGCCTGCAGTCGGAAAACACGTTGGGCAACGTAGGCCTTAGGATACTGTGCAGTGATAGCCATAAGACCGGCCTGAAGGGGGCTGCAGGGGTAAATATCCTCGACCAGGTCAGTTGTGACAGAGCACTGCAGCGCAACATCTGCTAACAATCGTTCTCTCTCGTCGTCCATCTCGGGGTCGGTCTGGGCGAGTTCCGGCCACAGACTGAATTGGGCTGGATCTTTGTCCGCGAAGCCATAGTCCTCGTGCTTGTTTTCCATAGCCTTCGCCAGACTTACAAGCCGGGGCCAACGGAATATGTCGGCCACAGAGAGGGGAATCTGCTCGTCCCGGGCAACCGCTGTCAGCTTCATGGCCACTACCGAGTCACCACCAAGCCGGAAGAAGGAGTCGTTGATGCCCACTACATCAGGGGAAAGCGATAGGGCTGCGGCCCAGAGGCGGTGCAGCTTTTGCTCCATAGCAGTTTTTGGAGCTTGCTTTGCCATTGTAGAATAGCTACTCAGCGCCTCGCGGGACATACGACGTAGCTGTTCCCGCACGAACTGGCGGTCCAGCTTGCCAGAATTGTTCACTGGGATCTTTGGCGTCAGGAGGTACGCCATTGGTACCATATATGCCGGAAGTACTTGGCCGAGCTCGATTTCCAACCCCTGGAGGCTATTACGGGCGGCATTGGTGATACGTGAATCATCGTACAGGTCCAACTCTCCACTGCTGGATGATCCAGCCTTAGGATATTCAATGACAGCAACCAACACCAGAACTCCATCGTGTGCCTCACCAGCCGGTCGCACTACATCCACGATAGCTTCGGATGCATCTGGGAGCAGATGCATAATCTGACTCTCGATTTCTCCAATCTCGACTCGCTGGCCGCGGATCTTGACCTGAGTGTCACGGCGACCGAGATATATAACTGAGCCGTCTGCATTCTGCTGCACCATATCACCAGTGCGGTACATCCGTCGGCCATTTAGGCCCAAATAGTCTGTAAATGCCGGGTTGTTGATAAAGGCAGCAGCGCTCTTGACAGGGTCGTTCAAGTAACCTCTTGCCAACTGTGGCCCTTCAATCAGCAGCTCGCCCGGCGCACCGATTGGAACCAATTGTCCAACATTGGCGGGATTAACGACCCAGAAAACACCCGCAAGCGGCTTCCCTACATTAGGTGCCTCTGATCTTTTCTGGATCTTGTTTCCTGTGGTATGAATACAGCATTCCGAGGGCCCATAAGCATTGATAATGTCGGCATGATCAAACCATTGGTCAACAACCTTTGGTTGAACAGCTTCACCCATCAAAACCAACGTTCGTACGCTCGGTGTGTTTTCTGGCTGGACTAAAGAAGCCACTGTTGACGTCAAAGTGGCGATAGTAACATTAGCGTCTGATAGGAATGGCATGAGCCGGTTCACACGATCATATTCTGAAGGAATACAAATACATGCCCCAAAAGCAAGACTCGTCATAATTTCCTGGATAGCGACGTCGAAGGTATAGGCAGCAAATTGTGACAGCCGGTCATCGGATTGAATGCCAAATGCGCGGCCATGGGCAAGGATACTTGTTGTAAGAGCCCTGTGTTCAAGAACAACACCCTTAGGCATACCGGTGCTGCCAGAGGTATAGATAACCCAGGCCACATTCTCAGGCCGTACGGATATGCAGGGCTCGCTGGACGGTATCGGGGTAGCCGGGGCCACACAGAAGAAAGAATCGACCACGAGTAGCTGTGTATCCAGCGCCCCCAGCCGTTGTTCTTGACCACGGTCAACCAGGATGAGCCGCGTGGCTATGTCTTTGAAGATTCCCTCAATGCGGGCTACTGGATGTTGTGCACCGAAGGGGACGACAGCTCCACCGGCGCGGAGGATAGCCAGCATAGCCACTACTCCAAACTTGGACTTATCCATACACATGCCGACCATCGTCTCCGGCCCGACACCTCGCTCTACCAGATGATAACCTAGCCAGCGGCTGTAATCATCTAGCTCCTTGTATGTGATATCTCCGTCCCATGCGCTGATAGCCAGTGCGGACGGCTGCACTGCCATCTTGTCAAGTACAAGGTCGTGGACAAAGCGCTCTATCCGGGGCGGAACAGTTGAATTCCATCTGCTCAACTGCACGCCATCCTCCCTCGATAGTAGTTGCAGCTGTCCTAGGGGGCGTTCGGTCTGTGCATTTCGTGCTAGCTGCTGGACAATATGGTCAAACTGTGCCAGTAGGCGATGCGCATTGTCAACCGTAAGGACTTCGCGGTCATAGCGTAGTTCGACCTTAACTGTATTCGTCTCTGCTGCCATCGTGCACTCGACGGTGAGCGAATATGCGTCAAAGGCATCGGCAAAGATTTCTGTATGATCTCTCATCGGTAAGGCTGACTCGCTCTTCTCGGCAGGCTGAACAACAAAGCTATGACCTGGGTCGAACTCCGGTCCCAGGCTAGAGACCATGCGTCTAATGTTCTGGAGACCGGTATGTTCATACGGGATCATTTCGGTTGCCCGCTTATGTATGGTGGTAAGGAACTCCCGTACAGACTGAGTTGGCGAAGCAGAAACGCGGAAGGGAACCGAAGTAACAGTCGGTGCCACCAGGCCAGTGATGCCCTCAACGGCCGCCCCGCGGCCGGATAGAACAACGCTGATAACTGACTCATCAGAACCGGTGTTGGCGGCTACCAGGAGGCCCCAGGCGGCTCGCAACAGGGTCGCCGTTGTCCCATTACCTGGACTGTTGGGAATTTCGACCTGTTGCTGGATCACATCTCTCGGGTTGACGACGTGCTGCGGAGAGGGCAAGGCTGGATATTGAGCCCAGCTGGCGCCTTCAAGCTGCCGCTGCCAGAATACTGCGGCCTGTTCCTTGTCCTGCCGGGCCAAGTAGGCAATAAATCGAGAGACGGGCACTGAGGGCGAAGGAGCCTCATCTTTTAGCAGCTGTTCCACGAGCTTTGACATTTCCACCAAGCTCCATCCGTCAAAAACACTGTGATGTGCTGTCCAGACAAAGTACCGACAATCTGCGTCCACTAAGATCGCCGCACGACTGAGCGCGCCGCCGTAAGTGATCGGCTTAGTTTTATCAGCTTCGAGATGCTCCTGGAGTGACATCCAGTTCTGCCAGGTCGGCTGCTCCCTGACCACCACCTGTAGCGCGTCGGTGTACGCGGAAGGGATGATGCGTGTCCGTAATATAGGCAGGGCTTCCACTAACCTCGCCCAGACAGCCTTCAGCTTCTGAATGGACAGGTCGGTCTCTAGGCTGAATACACGCTGGACAACGTAGGCTTCGGGACGTTGGGCGGTAATCGCCATCAGTCCGGCCTGCAACGGGCTGCATGGATAGACATCCTCGATATCGTCAAAGGCTATGCTACAATATGCAGCAACATCGGTCAACAGTCGTACTCGCTCGACTTCAGGATTATCAGTATGGACAAGCTCTGGCCAGAGACTTAGCGGGGCTGGATCTTCGTCCGCCGGGCCAGTGTCTTCGAATTGTTTCTCTTCTATAGCGGCTGCCATATCAGCCAGACAGGGCCATTGGAAGATGTCAGCCACGGATAGGGGAATCTTCTCAGCTCGGGCTGCGGCCGTTAGCTTCATAGCCACCACAGAGTCACCACCAAGGCGGAAGAAGGAGTCATTAATCCCAAATGATTTGGGGTCCAACACGAGCGCCGTGGCCCAGAGGTTCTGTAGCCTCTGTTCTATTGCAGTGGTTGGGGCCTGCTTTGAGCCTGCCGGGAGGGAAACGCTGCTCAGCGACTCGCGGGACATCAGGCGCAGCTGATCCCGCACGGCACGGCGGTCCAGCTTGCCAGACGCGTTGACCGGGATACTCGGAGCTAATAAGAACACCGCGGGGACCATGTAAGCCGGCAGCATCTGCCCGAGGTTGGCTTCCAGTTTTTCAACGTCCTTCCGCGCGGCTTCGGTAATCTGTGCGCCATTGTATAGCTTCAACGGTCCGGGGATGCTCGCGGCAGGCCCAGCCTCAGCATACTCGATGACAGCCACGAGCATGAGTGGCGTATCAAGCACCTCACCGGCAGGACACACCACATCCACCATGGCTTGATGTCCATGCGGGAGCAAACGACTAATCTGGTTCTCTATCTCACCGATTTCCACCCGCTGGCCACGGATCTTGACCTGCGTGTCCATTCGGCCGACGTAAGATAGGGAGCCGTCCGTATTCTGCTGCACGATATCTCCTGTGTGGTACATTCGTCGGCCAGGGCTGAGACCCAACTCTTCGACAAATGCTGGATCATTGATAAAAGAGGCGGTGGTCTTGTCGGGGTTATTCAGGTAACCGCGTGCTAGCAATGGACCTTCAACCAGGAGCTCGCCCGGCACGCCGATAGGACAGAGACAATTGTGATTTCGAGGATATACAACCCAGAAGGCCCCTGCCAGTGGCTTTCCAACATTCTTGGGATCCGTGGTTCCACTCACAATGTTTGCCGCGCACACAATGGCGCATTCGGACGGACCATATGAGTTGATAAGTTGGACACTGCTACTCCATTTGTCGACAAGCTGTGACTCCATTGCCTCACCACCGAGAGCAAGCTTTGTGACAGCCGGCACCTGGTCAGGGGAGAGTAATTTGAGGGTTGTTGGCGTCAACTCGACGTAGTTGGCATTGGTTCTTTGAAAACAACCAGCCAAGTCATTCATACGGTCTTCCTCAGACATTAGACACACACAGCCACCACTAGCCAGTGTGCAGAAGATGTCGGTAATGCAAACATCGAAGGTGAATGCCGCAAATTGGAGAGTCCGAGATTCCGTTGTCAGAGAGAGAAATCGACCATTAGCCAACACTGCTGTAGCGAGTGCACCATGTTCAAGTACAACGCCTTGAGGTTGGCCAGTACTTCCTGAAGTGTACAGTACCCAGGCCACATTGCCAGCTGTGACTGTTGCACACGCGTCATATCCCGTAGCAGGGAGCGATTCGTGGAGGGTGGCATCGACGGTGATGGTAGCCGGCAGTGCAGAGCCTAGTCGAGTTTGCTGCGATGGGTCAACCAGGACTAGGCACATAGCTGTGTCTTTCACGATTCGTTCGATGCGCGCCAGGGGATATTGCACCCCAAGAGGGACGACAGAGCCACCGGCGCGGAGTATGGCTAACATGGCCACCACCGCCCACTTGGATTTGTCCATGCACAGGCCGACCATCACCTCCGGGCCTACACCTCGATCAACCAAGTGGCAGGCTAGCCGGCGGCTGGAGTCGTCCAACTCGCCGTATGTCATCTCTCCGTCCCAAGCGCTGAGAGCCACCGCCGAAGGCCGGTCAAGCACGTTTTCTCGCACAAGGTCGTGGAGGCAACGCTCACTGCGTGGAGGTATGACAGAGTTCCACTGTTTCAACTGTGCCCTGTCCTCCTCCGGTAACAGTTTGAGAGACCCGAGGGGCAGCTCTACATCGGCATGGCATGTGAGCTGCTCAGCAATGTGGCTGAATTGAGCAAGCAGGCGTTGCGCAGCATTAACCGGGACAACTTCGCGGTCAAAGGACAGCTCAACTGTAACCTCACTTGTCCCGCCCACGGTGCACTCGACGTTCAGGGCGTAGGCGTCAAAGGCGTCCATAGAAGTAGCGTCATCATCGACGTCCATGCCTATATCAAAAATCGGTCTGGCTGATTCGCTCTCTCCGGCTGGCTGAACTAGAAAGATGTGGCCAGGGTCGAATTCTGGCCCAAGGCTAGGGGCCACGCGCCGGATGTTTTGAAGACCAGTGTGCTCATATGGGATCATCCCGGTGGCCTGCTGCTGTACATCAGAAAGGAAACCGCGTGTGGTCTGTTCCCTCCAAGCCGATACGCGGAAGGGCACTGAGGTGATAGTCGGGGCTATGAGGTCTGTAATACCATCAACGGCTGCCATACGACCGGAGAGCACGACATTGATGACTGCTTCCTCGGCGCCGGTGTTGGCGGTGACTAAGAGGGCCCAGGCAGCACGCAATACTGTGGACATTGTCGCAGCTCCTGGAACCAGAGAGATGTGTAGCTGGCAGCTGAGTTTATCGCGAGGGTTAACTTTGTGCTGCGCAGATGGCAAGGCTGGATAGGACGTCCAGTTAACACCTTGGAACTGATTCTTCCAAAATGCCACCTTCCGTTTCTCATCCTGACGAGCCAGATAGGCAATGAACCGTGATACTGGTACCGGGACAGATGGTAGCGCCTCACCCCTCAGGAGCTGCCCAAACATGTCTATCATTTTCGATTTGCTCCAACCATCGTAGATACTGTGATGTGATGTCCACACGAAGGTGCGGCTCCCATCGTCTTCGCTCTCTATTATGGCGGTGCGATTGAGCTCGCCGCCATATGTAATAGCATTAGCCCTATCCATAGCAAGATAGTCTTCAAGTGATGCCCTGTGATGCCAGACTGGCTGCTCCTGCACCACGACCTGTAGCGCGTCAGCCTGGATAGAGGGAACGATACGCGTCCGCAAGATAGGCAGGGCTTCGACCATCTGGTTCCAAGCGGCTTTGAGCCGTTCAGTTGGGAGGTTGGCATGTAGTTGAAAGACGCGCTGGATAACATAGGCCTTTGGATGCTGAGCGGTAATCGCCATCAGCCCGGCCTGTAACGGGCTGCATGGATAGACATCCTCAATTTGGTCAGGAGAAATACCACATTGCGCGGCAATATCTGCTAACAAGCAGTCCCGTTCTGTATCGGTATTGCTTTGGGCGAGCTCTGGCCACAGACTAAACGGAAGCGGATCTGCTTCTATAGGGCTATTGCCTTCATGATGTTCTTCCAAAGCTGCTGCCATATCCTCGAGACGGGGCAGGCGGAAGACATCGGCCACGGAGAGGAGAATATTCTCAGCACGGGCTGCTGCTGCCAACTTCATGGCCACCACTGAATCTCCACCAAGACGGAAAAAGGAGTCCTTGATGCCTACTGTATCAGGTGGAAGTGACAAAGCCGCGGCCCAGAGGCTCTGCAGTCTTTGTTCCATAGCAGTTTTTGGAGCCTGCTTTGTGGTGGTAGAGCAGGAATAGCTGCTTAGCAACTCGCGGGACATCTTGCACATCTCTTCCCGTACAGTCCGGCGATCTAACTTGCCAGAAAGATTTAACGGGATATTCGGAGCAAGCAAAAATGCCGAGGGCACCATATATAATGGTAAGGCCTGCATGAGGTCGATGTACAATTTGTCGAGGGCCTTAAGTGTGGCTTCAGTTATCATTGCGGGATTGTATACATCCAACGCTCCGCAACTACTCAGGGCAGGCCCAGCCTCAGCATACTCGATGACCGCCACCAACATCAACATGCTGTCATGAGCCTCACTGGCTGGCTGAATCACATCGACGATGGCCTTGCGTGCGTCTGGAAGCAAACACACAATCTGGCTCTCTATCTCTCCAATCTCAACTCGTTGGCCGCGGATCTTGACTTGTGTATCGCGCCTTCCGATGTAGGTCAGCGATCCATCCGCATTCTGTTGCACTATATCGCCGGTGCGGTACATCCGCCGGCCGGGGCCTACTAGGCCCAACTGTTCCGTAAATGCCGGGTTTTTGATAAAGGCGGCAGCAGTCTTGACAGGGTCATTGAGGTAGCCCCGTGCTAATAGCGGGCCTTCGATGAGCAGCTCGCCCGGTGCGCCAAGGGGCATCAGTCGGCCGATGTTGTCCGGGTCGGCTACCCAGGCACCTCCTGCGATAGGCTGTCCAACGTTTGCCGCAAGCGCAGGATCCAGTATAGGCGGGCTGCAATGGAATACAATGGATGCTTCAGCTGGGCCATAACCATTAATTACTGCAGCATCCTTGTTCCACCTATCCACAACACCTGGATCAACAATCTCTCCAATAAGGACTAGAGTTTTCAGTGTGGACACTAGCTTTGGGTCTAATAGGCGAGCGACTGTAGGTGTCACATTGGCATAGGTCACCCGGAAATCGCTAGCTGCCTGATTAAGCCTTGAGAGACGATCATCTTTAGAGAGCGAGCAAATACAGCCGCCAAAAGCAAGGGTTGCCATGATATCAGAGATACTGACATCGAAAGTAAAAGCAGCAAACTGGAGCGTGCGTGTTGAGGTAGAGAGCCCCCAGAGAGGTGCATGGGCAAGAATGCTCGTTACAATAGCCCGGTGTTCAAGGATAATACCCTTAGGCGTGCCAGTGCTGCCAGAGGTATAGATAACCCACGCAATATTTTCTGGTCGCACAGCTGTAAATGGCTCAGTAGATGTTATCGCTAGGGTCGATAGAGCCGTGTCAAAGAAACAGTCAACGGGAAGCAGCTGCGTATAGGACGATAGCGTAGCTAAACGTTGTTCATGGTGGCGGTCGACCAGTACAATCAGCGCGGCCGTATCTTTCAGGATACCCTCCACACGAGCCAGCGGATGCTGCACCCCAAGAGGCACCACGGCGCCACCAGCGCGGAGGATGGCTAGCATCGCCACGATTGTCCACTTCGACTTATCCATACACAGCCCAACCATCACCTCAGGACCTACACCACAGCCGACCAGATGCTGAGCTAGCTGATAACTTGCAATATCCAGCTCGCTATATGTCATCTCGCCGTCCCACGAACTGATAGCCGGTGCTGCTGGTTGGGCCGCCATCTGGTCCTGCACCAGTTCATGGATGCAGCGATCAACCCTTGTTGGTACTCTTGAGTTGAACTGGGACAATTGCACAGCATCCTCCGCAGATAGTACTTGCATCTGTCCCAGTAACTGCTCCGCCTCGGCATTGTCTGCTAGCTGCTGCACAATGTGGGCGAACTGGGCAAGAAGACGCTGGGCGGCATCGACGGGGAGGACTTCGCGATCATACCGCATCTCAACTCTGACGCCACTGCTCCCCTGGCCCACTGTGCATTCGATATTGAGCGGATGGGAGTAAAACGCGTCCGCAGTGGTAATCTCCCTCTTGAATAGCTTGTTATACATTGGTGGCGACGACTCGCTTTCCTCGGCCAGTTGGACAACAAACATGTGGCCAGGGTTGAAGTCTGGGCCAAGGCCGGGAACCATACGACGGATATTCTGAAGACCAGTATGCTCGAATGGGATCATCAGGGTGGTTTGCTTCTGTATAGCACCAAGAAAACCACGCACAGTCTGTTCCCTCCATGCAGATACACGAAAGGGCACTGACGTGATAGTCGGTGCTATGATATTTGTGATGCCATCAACGTGGGCCATGCGGCCGGAGAGCACGACGTTGATAAGAGCTTCATCGGCGCCAATGTGAGCCGCAACGAGGAGGGCCCAGGCGGCGCGCAGCAGTGTCGGGGTTGTTACACCACCTGCTGTCCGTGGAATGCTGATCTGGTGGTTCAGCAGGTCGTTGGGTACGACTTTATGGTGTAGGGACGGCAACGCCGGGAAATGAGCCCAGTTGGCGCCTTCGAGGTGGTTCTTCCAGAATGTTGCCGTCTGTTGCTGATCCTGCTGGGACAAATAGGCGATGAAGCGCGACACAGGCACTGGGGCCGGAACCGCTTCACCTCGTAATAGCTGCACAAGCATTTCCATCATCCTAGCCATGCTCCAGCCGTCGTAGATGCTGTGGTGTGTCGTCCACACGAGGAACCTATTTGTCCTATCTTCGCTCTCGACAATGGCAGTACGACTCAAAACGCCGCCATATGAAATAGGGATAGCTTTATCTGCAGCAAGATAGTCCTCGAGTGACACCGAATCCTGCCATATCGGCTGCTGCTCCCGGACCACCACTTGCAATGCGTCAGCTTGTACTGAGGGTATAATGCGCGTGCGTAAAATAGGCAGGGCTTCCACCAGCCTCGCCCAGGCTGCCTTCAGCTTCTGAGTTGAAAGGTCAGCTTCCAGACTGAATACACGCTGAATAATATAGGCCTGAGGATGCTGTGCGGTAATTGCCATCAGTCCGGCCTGCAATGGGCTGCATGGATAGACGTCCTCGATCTGGCTAGCGGTTATGCCACACTGCGCGGCAACATCTGCCAGTAGTCGTGCCCGGTCTGTATCCGGGATATCAGCCTGGGCGAGCTCCGGCCATAAGCTCAGCGGGGCCGGGTCTTCGTATACCACGCCATTCGTTGCAGGACCATTCGTGAGGCCGTATTTCTCTTCTATAACCGCTGCCATATCCACCAGATGCGGCCATTGAAAGATGTCAGCCACGGATAGAGGAAGCTTCTCAGCGCGGGCCGCTGCCGTCAGCTTCATAGCTACCACCGAGTCTCCTCCAAGACGGAAGAAGGAATCGTTAATTCCTACTTGGTCAGGGGAAAGCGATAAAACTGCAGCCCACAATTGCTGCAGCTTATATTCTATAGTAGTAGTTGGAGCCTGCTTTGTGATTGTCGAATAGGAAAAGCTGCTTAACGCCTCGCGGGACATGAGGCGCAACTGATCTTGCGTGCTGCGGCGGTCCAGCTTGCCCGATGTATTCACCGGAATATTCCGGGCAAGTAAAAATGCTGTAGGCACCATGTATGCTGGTAAAACCTGCTCGAGCTCGGTATCCAATTTCTTGATAGCCTCGCGTGCGGCTTTGGTGATTGTTACGGGGTCGTATAGTTCCAGCTCTCCTCCACTGATAGACCATCCAGCCTCAGGATATTCAATAACGGCCACCAACATTAGTACTCCATCATGCGCCTCACCGTCCGGCCGAACGACATCGACAATAGCATCGCGTGCATCAGGAAGCAGACGAACAATCTGATTCTCGATCTCTCCAATTTCAACCCGCTGGCCGCGGATCTTAACCTGTGTGTCGCGACGGCCGAGGTATGTCAGGGAGCCGTCGGGATGCTGTTGTACCAAATCACCGGTACGGTACATCCGCCGGCCAGGGCTTAGACCCAGCTCTTCCACAAACGCTGGATCGGTCACAAACGCAGCCGCTGTCTTGGCCGGATCGTTGAGATACCCGCGCGCCAACAGCGGGCCTTCGATTAAGAGCTCACCTGGTGCGCCGACTGGAACCAGTTCCGCGATGTTCGCTGGGTTAACCACCCAGAATGCGCCGGCAAGCGGCGTTCCTATATTATTAGCCTCTGAACTATCCCGGACTTTGTTACCCGTTGTCCATATAGAGCTCTCCGAGGGGCCGTAAGCGTTCACAACAGTGGCCTGTTGTACCCATTGATCGATAACCTTTGGTAGGAGGGCTTCGCCAGTCAAAATAAGCGTTCGGGTTGTCGGCGTGTCTTGCGGCTGGACCAGCGCTGCTACAGTTGAGGTCAATGTAGCCACAGTGACATTTGCTTTTGACAGGAAGGTCGTGAGGCGACTTATGCGATCATGTTCGGATGGAACACAGATACATGCGCCGATCGAGAGGGGCGTCATAATTTCTGCAATAGAAACATCAAAGGTGTACGCCGCAAACTGCGACAGGCGGTCATGAGGCTGTACACCAATCGCAGGTCCGTGGGCAAGGATGCTTGTCGCGACGGCCCTATGCTCAAGCACAACACCCTTGGGTTTCCCGGTGCTACCGGAGGTGTACATCACCCAGGCCGCGTTCTTGGGCAGTACGGATAGGCAGGGCTCGGTGGACGGTGTCAGGGTCGCCGGAGCCGTATCGAAGAAAGAGTCAACCGCAAGCAGCTGCGTATGCGCCGCCAGCGCCACCAGCCGCCGCTCGTGAGCGCGATCGACCAGTACGATCGGCGCGGCTGTATCTTTCAGTATGCCCTCAATGCGGGCCACTGGATGCTGCACCCCAAGAGGCACCACGGCGCCACCAGCACGGAGGATAGCCAGCATGGACACCACTCCCAACTTCGACTTCTCCATGCACAGCCCAACCATCACCTCCGGGCCGACACCTCGCTCTACCAGATGGTAGGCCAGCCGGCGGCTGATCTCATCTAGTTCACCGTACGTCATCTCGCCGTCCCAAGCGCTAATGGCCTGTGCGCTTGGCTGGGCGGCCATCTTGTCCCGGACAAGGTCGTGAACACAGCGTTCCAGGCGTGGGGGTATGGCGGAATTCCACCTCGAAATCGCAAGGCGGTCTTCGATGGCATGGCTTGGAAAGTCGCGGATGTGCATGCTGCTCGCTCCTTCTAATAAAAATGCGACTGCGTCTTGAAACGCCGTCATCTGGGCCTTTACAACCGGCCAGGCTATCCTAGAAGCCCAGTATTCGAGACTCAAGTCGATCCGTTCTTCACTAAATCTCACATTGGCGGATAGATCATACTATTATTTCGTCAGTACAGTCAGTATCGACTCAGCAAAAGTAGAGCTCCTCACGTCTGTTGCGCTTGTCCTCGCATCTAGGGTCACGGAGGTTCCTTCTGTGAACATATGCGTGTTTGTTGCTTCTCGCTCAATTGAGAGCAGCGTGTTTCCGAGCCGCTTCAACGACCGTGTTTTTGCCACGGCCAGATCGGCTATAGGAATGTTCTGAAATGGTAGGCCGTCTTGCCAGTCTCGTTTCGCCAAAGACAGTGCATCAGTCGTGCTGGTCTCCGGGGTCAATGTGAGACAGCATGGTAATGTGTTTAGGAAGGGCCCCACAGTCCCGTCGACGCCCTCGAGATTGCAGTTACGCCCAGAGACTATATATGAGAACGTTATGGTATCTGATAGGATGATGCGTCGAATGGCAAGCGCCCAGGCGATTTGGAACAGGTTTGCCGGAGTAACCATTATCTGACTGCAGACAGCGCGAAGCTTCCTATGTGGTAGTGCAATGGAACAACAAGCTGTCTTCAGGTGATGCAGTTGAGGATTGATTTCGATAAGAGGCAAATGAGACTCGCTGGCGTTGTTTAGGTAGGATGTCCAGTACTCAACACCTACAGATGCCTCCCGTGTGTTCAAGGCAGCTTGCTGGTGAGATGCAAAACTCGTATATGGAAGCGCGTTCTCCGAGAAGTACGCAGCTCGTAGATAGCTAGCACGAAGATCGTGCAACAAGATTCTACCAGAGTGTCCATCCACCAGGGCATGCGAAATTTCCAGGTCAACTCGAAGCTCATTAGCATTGACCTCATAAGCACAAAGACGCAGCGGAGCTTCGAACTTGCGCGTAATAAAGGGTGGCACGGCTCGAATATCCTTTGTCGAGGAGGATATTATAACACGGGGTGGCATAGTGTTAGGCTTGAGGACAAGTTGGTCAAATTTGCCAGGTCGGTCATTGCTCTCGATAAATGTCGTCCTCAGGATTGCATGACGTTTGACAATGTCTCTCCATGCATCGACAACCCTCTCCGTTGAAGGTCGCCGACCATCGGCAGAGGTTGAAAGCAGCCTCATGGAAACATGGCTGATATAGGAAGTAGGGTTGATAGCCTGACTGACAAAGAAACCTTCTTGCACGGCGGAGCAAGGCGCAATAGATTCGATGTCGCTAATGGCTATACTGTGCGTTTTCAAGTCCGCGACCAGGTCGTCCAGCGCGGAATCTTGCCAATTGACAAGAGGAAAATCGATGTCTCCATTTGCGTGACCATTGACTCCGTTAACAGATCCCGCATTCTTTCGGTCTATCTCTTCAGCGAGTGCACCCAAGGTCTCGGCCGTCAACAGTTCTGTCATGTCCACGTGAATACCTGCATGACGGCATTTGGCGATGAAATCGATTGCTAGGATAGAGTCGCCACCGAGCAATATGAAGGACTTGTTCCAATCCAGCGAGTCGACTTCGATATCGATAACATGAGCTGCAGCCTTCCCAAGTACGAGCTTCGATGGCTGAAAGCGCGGTTTGGCACTGTCGGAATTGTCCATGTTTGACGAGGGCGGTGGTATCAATAACGAATACGGACTGTCAAAAGTATCAAGCGCTCAATCGAAAACTCTGGAAAGAGAAAAAGGTAGAAAGGCGAAAGGGAAGAGACTGATGTGCTCTGCGTGGATTGTCGGCAGTGTGGTGCACCTGGACATAAGTGTCAATAATAAATACACACTCCTAAACAGGCTTAGTTTCACAGGGAATATTGTTGCTAGGATAGTTAATAACTAATAACCAGTTACCGTTAGTTTAGCATTCGCGGAGCACGGGGATAACCGGGGCGGTGGGGAATAATGTCAATAACGGGCTTGGTACACATCAATAACGGCAGGGTAAATAATTTCGAACAGGCACCGCCGCATCGGTGTATTATGAAACTGGCAAGGTCATCTCTCCCGTAACGTGTTAAGTTACCTGAAGCCTAGTCGGATTTCAGTCTTGACTCTTGCCATTTCTCTTTGACCCTTCCACTCCAATTGCAGGTGGCCTCGTAACACCTCACGCTCTGCCTTTCTGAACAGCCCTGAAGATGCGCGGGAAGTGTGCACGCGTGGACGAAGATGTCTTTGGCCCCGTGGTGGAGGGCTGCCTGGACGACTTCGACTTCACGTTGCTCTTCGAAGAGACGATCCTATTCGTGCTCCCCGCCTCGTGTCTGCTGCTGCTGGCACTTGCATGGCGGGGACCTGAGCTCATCCGTGCTAATGTCGTCGTACGCTCATCTCTCCTAGGGCTCTTCAAGTTGGTAAGATCTATGTTGCATCAAAGTGCAATTCCGGCAACCTCCTCCCCCAAACTAAGGAGGGAATTTCGAAACTTACGACTCAGGCGACAGATTATTTACCCTCTTATTTTCATCTCACATATACTCTTCCTTGCCTTTGCCTGCAAGAATACTTCTGCCAACACTCGAGCGACGATTCCCGTTACCGCAATTGGGCTGCTCGCGATCGTCGTCATGGGCGCCCTGTCATACCTAGAACATCGAAGATCTCCTCGTCCCTCGTCACTCCTCACGTTGTACCTCCTTGCCGCTGCGCCGTTGAATGCGGCTCGCGCCCGCACTCTGTGGTACATGCCGAGTTCGGATGGCGTCGTTATAAGTTTTACTGTTACTGTGGCCTTGATGGTGATCGCTCTTGGACTAGAAGTGGCACCAAAGGATGCCCTCATGAGGGAAGAGGGCGTCGGAAAGCCTTCTCCTGAAGAGAGGCGCGGCATTGTGGAACGTTCGTTACTCACTTGGATTGCACCGACTTTTGCATATGGTTACCGGAACACATTCACATCCGCGACGATGCCTTCGGTCGATCCCAGGTTGACTACGTGCATACTAAAAGAAACTGCCATCACTGGTATAAGCCTCCGTAAGCATTTGGCAAATAGGTGTAACAGCAAGCTGAATATTCTGCACAGATCTTGACCAACCACTGTTTTACAGTCTTGTCCAACTCCACTGGCGAGACCTGCTCAGTCCGATACTCCCACGCGCTTGCTTTCTAAGCTTGACCCTAGCACAAGCCTTTCTTGTCGAGACGGCCACGGCGTCGGTCTCCAATCCTAAGGCTACTCAACAGTCCCAGAACGCGCTAGTTGGTGCCTATGTGTTGGTCTACCTTGGCATGGCAGTCAGTCGCTCCCTGCCGTTGATAGACCCAGAGGTCTGTCCTTTCTAACTCTGGTTTGACAGGTAACATACTGTCTTTATCGCCAGAATGCCGTGCGGGCTGCCGTCGCCATGCGAGCCAGCCTTACAGACTTTGTATTCCAACGCCTTTCGCACCTAGACTCTGCGATCGAGCTCGCCGGCTCAGCTACGACCTTGGTCAGTGCAGACATTGAGCGTATTCAGTTCGGTTTTCGCGATATCCACGAAATCTGGGCCAACATGATCACTACAGCGATATCACTGTTCCTAATTGAGCGTTCCATTGGTATTGCCATGGTTACTGGGCTTGGTGTCTCCATTGGTATTATGCTGACCCCTACTTAGGATAAACCGTATGCTGATCTATAGTGGGAGCAGTCTGCATGGCTGCTGTATTTCTTGTGTCGCTTGGCGGCAGCAAAGCTCAGAAACACTGGTTCGAAGCTACCGAGACCCGCGTCGCTCAGGTGGTGAAGATTCTGGCCGAGTTCAAGAGTATCAAGATGATGGGTTACACAGCTGCGCTCCTTAGCAGTCTCACTGCCGCAAGGGTTCACGAGGTCCAACGTTCTCAGAGGTTTCGAGCGTTCGTGATTGTGGTAGCCACGTTGGCACAAGCCGCCACTGCACTAGTCCCGGCTTTTGGATTCGCCACGTACGTGCTGCTGCACAACTCTGGCGACGGGGAGGTCTTGAGTGCCAGTGTTGCCTTCGGGACATTGACGCTCTTCAACATCCTCACGTCGAGTATCGGGCAACTGATCGATTCAATATTTGGCACGGTGACAGCCGTAGGTTGCATTTCGCGCGTACAAGAACTGTGCACCAAGCACTACAGGTTAGACCCTCGTAAAACAAACAGTCCGGCTGAGCCTCCGCAATCAGGCGTGGCCATGAATCATGCCAGCGCAAAGTACGATGAGGACGGCCACGACGTTATCCAGAAGGCCAGCTTCGAAGTCAAGCCCGGCATGGTCGTTCGCGTGGTAGGCCCAATAGCATCAGGAAAATCCACGCTTCTGAAAATGATACTTGGTGAGGTGCGTTACTGCGCGGGTGAGGTAGCTGTCGGCGACAAAATCATCGGCTATTGCGATCAGAACCCCTGGTTGGATCATGTTAGCATCCGGGAAAACATTACTGGTCCCGCGCCTTTCGACCCCGAACGATACGCTAACACGATTCGCATTTGTGCACTGGAGGCTGACCTGGAGAGCATCCCCGGAGGAGATGCCTGTCTTTGTGTTGGCAACGGGACCACTTTGAGCGGAGGCCAAAAGACTCGCATTGTTCGTCATCTGGACCTCTGCATCGTGAAGCCAGCTAACAAACCTGTAGGGTTTAGCTCGTGCCATCTACGCACGCCCGCGGATCTTGGTCTTGGATGATTGTCTGAGCGGATTAGATGCCAACACGGAGCATCTCGTGCTTGAGAATCTCGTCGGTGCACGCGGCTTCATTCAAGAACATTCCATCACTACTTTCTTGGTCTCGAGTTCACGTGCGTCCAGCCGCTTGTTCGCCAGATTATGGTCGCCTCTGACATGAAAATAGGGAAGCCTTTGCCTAGCAGCATCGCAACGCTTTCGCTGGGGCCCGAAGGACCCGTACTGACTGAAAGCGCGTCGTACCAACAGCACGTCGCATCTCCATTGTCCCACGATTCGAACACTGTGCGTGTAGCACGTTCCAGGGAGTTGAGTGAAGACAACAACACAGAAGCGCGACTCTTGATAGAAGCGAACGGCGATCGCCTTGAAGGGTTTGAGAAGTCAGGGGAACTCGCTCTCTACGTCATGTTTATGAAGGTTGCTGGAAGAATCGGGTTGTTGGTATTCGTCTTCCTGGTTGTCATTTTTGTAGTGGGAATTACTTACCCGCGTGAGTTGTCCCTTATCCGCGACGATGGGATTCGTTCAGGAAGCTGACAAACATCGATATGACAGAAATTTACTTGCAAACCTGGGTCTCACAGACTTCGGTAGATCAGCACAGCAGTATTGGTACCCTTACGGGCCTCTACTTGGGTTTGAGCAGTCTCGCCTTGTGCGCATTCGCGGCAGCCTGTGTACAATTCACACTGGGAATCGCACCACGCATTTCCATCAAATTTCACGCATTGCTAGCCAAAGCGCTTCTTTCGTAAGTTGCCATCACTCCTCCTCGCCGTCTACTTCGTCCACTGACAGCATCTACTGTAGTGCTCCCCTTTCTTTTCTCGCCACAACCGACAGAGGTTCGATAACCAACAGGTATTACCACCAGGTATGTATCAAGTCATAAGCTTGGGATCGCTGACGGATCCCTTGAACAGATTCGCTCAAGACCTTGCCATCATAGATCAAGAAGTTCCCTTAGCCTTTATCGGTACTGTCCTCGTCTTCTTGCAGCTGCTGGCTCAATGCGTCACTCTCATCATTGGTTCGCACTATTCGGGAATAGCTATCCCCTTTCTGCTGGTAGTGGTGTATTGCATCCAATCTGTGTATCTGCCGACGTCCTGTCAATTACGGTTGCTGGATCTTGAGGCCAAAGCTCCTATTGTGTCACTGTTTGTTCGATCTGTCGAAGGCCTCGCGACCATCCGAGCTTTCGGGTGGTTGAGTCATACCCAGATCCAGTCAAGGAGACATATCGTCGCATCTCAAGTGCCGTTCTACCTCCTAGCGACCGCGCAGAACCTGCTCAGTCTTGTCCTCGATCTCGTGACTGCGGCCCTTGCGATCATCGTCATCTCAATCTCGGCCAGAACGCATGAGGCGGGCCTTGGGCTGGCGCTGTTCAGCATAGTGGGATTGGGCACCTCGATCAAACTCTTGATTTCGCAATGGACGGAGCTGGAAACCTCCCTCGGTGCTATGCGGCGCATCAACAACTTTGCTGAAAATACTCCCTCCGAGTTCTCGCCCTATAGAAGCACGATGCCACCCTTCGACTGGCCGAGCAAAGGGACGGTAGAGTTCTGCAATGTTTCACTGGCATACAGGTGAGTCTTGCGACACTGGTGGCATCGGGAGAGGCAGGGTAGAGCTGACGCGTTTCAAATTGGCAGTGATACTATGCCTCCTGTCGTATCTAATGTAACACTCAAGATCCGGCCAGAGTGGAAGGTTGGAATTTGCGGGCGCACTGGCAGGTATGGAAGCCGATCCCCGCTGTCGCTGGGTCGTCTCATCCGTTATGCTAACAATGGCGCTCCAGTGGGAAAAGCACACTCATCTCGTCTATCCTCGGTCTCGTTCACATACAGCAGGGTAGCATAATCATCGACGACAGGAACATCTCTGTCCTCGAACCAGACTCGCTACGTTCGAGCATAACAGTGGTCCCGCAAAATGCCCTGTTGCTACCTGTGGACGTGCGGACGAATCTGACTCTAGGTGCGGTACAAGTTCCTAGTGACGAAAAGATTATCGCGGTCCTCAAAGAGCACGGCCTGTACGAAAGGTTCCATGAGCGAGACGGCCTCGACACGCTCATCGTTGACGATCTGCTTTCCCATGGAGAGAAGCAGATCTTCTGCATCGTGCGAGCACTCCTTCACAAGAGTCGCTTGGTTCTGCTGGACGAACCTACGAGCAGGTAAGCCTCAGTCCTACTGAAGAATCACCGTTCCACATTTGAGGCAAGAGGATTGACCTCGCAATCGTATCCAGAGCCGATACCAACACTCAGCAAATCATGGACTCTGCTGTGCTGGGAGGCTTCGAGGGCTCGACGGTACTCTATGTCGCGCACCGTCTCGAGATCTTATCGCAGTTTGACCGCGTCATGGTCATGGACAAAGGTCAGATCGCCGAATTTGGCGACCCGCGCGAGTTGCTGCAGAAGCCCGACTCGCTCTTCGCCAGCACGTTCAGCAAGGCAAACTCACAGATCAGCAGCCAAAAATCGTAGTAGTTGCTAGGTTGGCATAGTAGACCCGACGAAGGCTCGATGAGGTCGCGCCCGACTTCCGACGCTCGTGATGTCAAGGATGTGGTGGGAAAACTTCGTGGACGAATGCCGCTTTGAGCGTGGAAAAGGTTCAACAATATGTCCGCTCGCCGGGGCAATTTATAGACTAGACTCTGAGCGTTATTTATGTACTCGTCTATAATGGCGACTTCGCCTGATAGACTGCGTCCTTTGGAAGAAGTTTCCAACACTTTTGTGAGGTCGATGAACAATGCATGAGACACCGATAGTAGTACCGTACACATTTTGCCCCGTGAACATCCCATGTGGAGCGCTCTACCACGGGCTCAGAGACGCAGATACAACATAGATCATGCTTCCAGTTTCCCCTCGCGGAAACTCTCAAGACTATGGACCCGATCAGGTTAAGGGTCAACCAATCAATCAATCAATCAAAGTTCTATTAACCTGTTGGAGCTTAACTAGTATCGTAATGGCTATGCAGGCGCTTCTTTCCAGATAAATCAAGAACCGTATCCATACGCCTGATCATGCTCCAGTACAAACAGTGAGAGACTGGTCCTCAATGTGACGCATGGAAGTGAAGCACTACGGGGCGATGTTGCTTGAGGACTGTGTGGGTGGCAGAACCGCAGAGGCGGTAAGAATGGAGGATGTTGATTGGTCGGTTTGGGGTTTAGTTGTTGTCGATTAGCTCCGTCTCTCTCTCCCTACTTCCTTTCTCTAGTTGAATGTCTTTGGATGAATGGACCCTTGTTCTTGCTAGGCTTGCCGCTCACAACCTAAATCAAGAATTTGACCTTTCATCCGATCATACAGAGCATTCGGCCTAGGAGGAAAATCTTTTATTTTCTACAAGCTGTTCTGTCGCGATATCTTGGTGTTCTTCAGGCTACCTGGAAAAGGGTCCCTTGAGAGGCCAACGATAATTAACGACAGATCGTTTTATGAGTTTTGCCGTCAAATTTTTTGGTTTTTGCTTTCCCAAACTCGCTCAACAAAACGAGAGGTCAGTGACTACATCACAAACATCAGCTATGATCTTGTGCGACAGCATATCCGCGCTACAAGCAATTCGGAATCCGGGTACTAAGACAGAGCAACGAATGATCCACGCCATCTTGCAAGCGGGTTCAGAACTTCGAACCCGTGGAATTGCCCTCCGCCTGCAACCGATGCCGGGACACTGTGATGACCCAGGAAACGATGCTGCGTATCGACTGGCCATGGAGGCAGCCAGCCCAGGCAAGAGCCATCCATTCTGCCTCCTACTTTCCATGGAGAAAGCATTCATTCGCGATCACATTCGCGCACACTGGAAATAGGAATGGAGAGCGTCCACAAAAGGGATTCACCTCCGCAGAATTGACGAATCGCTGCCCTCCAAATACACTAGGCGGCTATATGGCTCACTGCCGAGGAACCGAGCCTACCTGCTGAAACAACTACGGACCGGGCACTCATGGCTATCAACATACCGCAAGGCTCGCGGTCTCGCCGAAAACGACAAATGCGTGTGCGGCGCGCAAGAATCCGTGGTCCACGTGCTTGTAGACTGCCCGAGATTGAGAAACCTGACAGGAGCTACGGAGGAAAATCGGCGATGCATTCAATAGCGTATCAAGCCATCTAGGGGGCTGTAAAGACGGTAAGGAGAGTAAGCCAAACACGGCCACCGCGGGCTAGCACTGTTGAGGCGGTACTGGACTATGCGGAGGCATCACAATGATTTCGAAGTCGCGCTCCATGAGGGCAGCCTACTGTAACAGCGAAACTGGTACTGGGCCACGACAGGCCTTGACTAGGCTCTAAGTTCGTTTTTAGGCAGCGGTACGTCCTACATGTACATACAAGGATGTATCTAGTTGCGGTAGCCTGCATATCGCTCAGCGATGGGTCAGGGTAAATGATTTCACACACTCACACACACACTCCTATAAAAGGGCTCTTAGCTGTGGTTCCGATCCCGTACTCATTGGGGCTCGCCTCTGAACTGTTACAAATTCGTGCCAGGCAAAGAGATGAGGGAAAGCGCTCTACATAGTGCTGAGGGCGAACGACTGGTCTGGTGATACCTTCTATGCCGGCGCTGCGTCCTTACGTCGAGTCAATTCTCCAGATTCTGGTCACGAATCTGACTGATATTGCGAATACAACCGTCGTGGTCAACTCAATGCTGCCCGATCTTCATGGCCTGTTGCCAGTTTCCAACGTTCGGTCAAATTCGTGTTTCGGTAACCGGTTGGTCCAACTGGGATGTTCATGCTTGAAAGACAATCAGATCGCCTTCAACCGATAAGTCCTCAAGGCATACGATCTCTAACGCCTGAACTGAACATATATCAAGGGTTTGCAGCCTTGTTTGACAGATCAAATACAATCGTGGTCCTTACAAGCAATAAGAAGCGCGCCTTCTTCAGACAACAGTGCCGTGAGACATTAGCAGCCCATATATATATGTTATGGTCTTCCCTCGTCCTGATGAGCGAAAACAATCCCCGTCAGGTGACCGACATGGCCTTGTAGTCGCTTCCAGCCAAGTCCGCCTACAGCCATCGGTCGGAGATGGATACGCTTCGTCGGTGACGGATACCAAGAAGAGCTTGTTGCGGTCAGACTTGGGTAGTGGAAGTGTCGGCCTGTACAAGTCCATTTGCGGGGAATTGGGTCAGTCGCTTGAGGCAGTCACTCCGCAGACGCTACAGTTGCCCAATTAGAACGAGACCACGTGCCAAGAGAAGAGGTGAGCCTTGCGATCCCTACATTTGTCTGACGAGGCCAACGCAATGCTAAATTTGAATATAGTCTGGCCCAGCCCGTAGCGACGAGGAGGAAAGCGGCTCTTTCACGGCGAAGATCCGCGGGCTGGAATGCGCCAATCATAAATTGAAGGACGAGCTTGACCGCCACAGCATCCATCTTCAAGGGTCCCTCGGCGAGGTTCGCACATTGCAAGGAAACATCCGTCGGCTTCAGGACGAGTTGGACAGTAGTTCATCTCGAGAAACTCACCTAGAAGACGAGTTGGTTCGTGTCACAAATGGGATCACCGAAGCTATGCGGGTTTTGCAGGATTATCAAGCCAAAGAGTGGAGCAGGCCAAAGTTGCACGAAGGCAGACGACGTGAATCTGGTGATAGCAAAGACAGCAAGGTGCTTGGAATACCGCAGTTTCCGTACGCGACGAAGTGGCTTGACTGACATTGTGATCGCGTGTTCTCGTGTTCTTGTCATCCTCCGAGCGCCAGCGCTCCGGCCAATGGGTGCTGTTGAGTGGGTCCAAAGTTGAACTCCCGTTTTGGGAAATATCACTTTGCTTCCATCGCAACGCGGCTATAACCGTGCAAAATACGCGTTTTTACGTGTAACAACGCGGGTGTTGGTCATATGGCACATTAGCAGATATAACGAGCGCGAAGGGCTCACCTAGGCCATAGAGGGCCATGTTCACTAGGTTCGTGGTTGAAACTTCAAATCGTACTATTCATTATATATCTTGGGCTCACCTTTCACAAATTCTGTTGCGTTTGTTGTATGCCAACCGCACTTGTACGCGGAACACAATTTATGCTTCCATACAGTTACCATAGCACCACTACCAGAATCTAGTCCCATAAGTCAAGAGGTTGATCGTGTGATTGTGCTCAAAGCTCGAGGCAATTACCACCAGACATTCTGCTGGGCAGATAGTGCGCCTTACCTAAGATGGCTAGACCCAGCACGTGACAGACCACACCCGTTAGTAGGAATCAAGCATGAGTCTGGGTTCTTTGGATACCCATTGCTACTGTCTTAATTAGGCCAAGCGGAGGATTCGGGGAAAGATTGTGAAACGAGGAACGGTGGGTGGTCAGAAATGGAAGAATTGGCTCCTTTAAAAGGTCAAAAGTGAAAAGGAACCAGAACTTAAACAAGTCTAGCAATGATTACCCAGCCCAGTATCTCCCGATATTATCCAATTAATACAGTATGTGTGATATAATCCATTTCCACTGACAAGGAGCTCCTCTCCTCCTCCAAGTGTAGCTGAGGAGAAAAAAAAAAAAAAAAAAGAAAAGGATGGTAATTTTAGGAGGCAAAGTGGCCGTTAAACAGGCCTTATTCCTTTCCCAAGTGTTAGGCCCCACCAGATGCAAATTTTTATCATTTTATTATATTTCCTTTCGAGACCACCACGTGACTACACGGTTAGCTTGGAGAGTCTCCTCTTCCTCCTTCCATCCTTCTCCATCAATATTACTACGTTCTATTGCTGCTTTCCTTCCCTCTCAAGAATATCCAAGAGGAAGATGAGAAATGCAATCAGTAATCAGACTGCGCTGATTACAATCAAGATCACAATATGTGCGTCAGCAAGTAGGTACTTTCCAGGGCAGAGTGCTCCAGTGTCCAATGGAGACGGTAGTATTTCCTGAAACGGCTAGATAATCCGCCAAGGCCTTAGATCATCCTAACTAACCCATGCAGATGTGGGGTTGATGATTCATTGCCATCGGCATCCCACCCGACTTTCCAGTCGCTAAATAATGTAGAGGTGATGCGGGATCCGCAGAAGTCTGCAGAATACAAGATCAACCAACATTTAAGCCAGGCCATGTCTTGAAGTTCATCGACGTCTCTCTGAAAGTTACATCCTTCTCTCTTGCTATAGTGATAAACACTTCACCATGTCGTCTGCCGCTCAATCGTTCCGCAACATCATTGGCGTCTCTGCCTCCACTGCCTCTGTGCAAGACTCGACCCTTGTCATTATCGACGCCCAAAACGAATATGCCTCCGGCCAGTTGAAGGTCAAGTCGGTTGACCAAAGCCGCAAAGTAATTGCAGACCTTCTGGCTCGCTACCGAAACGGTGGCAATGGCAAGAACATTATCCACGTCGTACACGAGGTGCCAGCTGGAGCACCCATCTTCACACCAGGCACTGAATTGGCAGAAGAATTCAGTGAGCTCACTCCCAGGTCGGGTGAGAAGGTCATCAAGAAGCACTTCCCAAGCTCCTTTGCCCAGACCGACCTCCACGAGTACCTTGAAGGGTTAGGCAACGTGGGCAAGAAGATTGTTCTGGTCGGATACATGGCGCATGTATGCATTTCTACCACCGCCCGAGCAGGAGCTGAGCGGGGATATGATGTGCTTGTTGCAAAAGATGCTGTGGGTGATCGGGAAATTCCTGGAGTCAGTGCCGAGGATCTTGTGGCCATCACTCTGAGCGAGTTGGCGGACGCCTTCGGGACTGTAATTTCTGCGGGGGATATCAGCGCGTAATAGTTGGCCACGATGAAAATAGTAGTGTGGAAATATGTTCAATCGTTGCTTTTTACAGAAATGCCTCTTGATTTACGGCTAATAAGCCGCATCTTCTATAGTATTTTCTGCAGCTATATCCAATCAAAGCCAACTCGTGCGTCATGTAGAAGAGCAGTTGCTTGAGATATCCAGTTTTTCGCATCTCCATTATCCCTTGTGACTGCTGACGGATCACACTTGTTTAACACCTTGGATTCTGCATCTAATGGAGCATTCCACAGCTCATCACTGTCTGGCATGCAGAAAGACAAATCGGCTAGGGCCAAAAGGTCATCTCTGCCACCATTGGCATTTTCTCCGGTCGAATCAATGAAAGTGGACAACCGGCACACCTTATAAAGGGCCAGATGAAATGTACTCTAAATCAAGTAGGAAACTTTGCCGTGTAAAGTGGTCTTGGGGAGAAATCCACTCTCTGTACGATAAAAGCCGTTCTAGTCTCATACCAGTTCATGAATGATTTCGGGATCATGGGGTAATGTGAAGCGTCTGTGAATCGTCTAGACCTTACAGCGGATATAGCCGCCCCTGACGGAAACTGAGCAAGTGTTCGCGGCGTCGCGTATTTACCATTGCATGTTGCTGCACTTCCAAAGTACGGCACAACTACACTTAAGATCTTGGCTAATATGACTATTCATAGGATGAGGGCGGATGGAAGGAGAGCAATCACAAACTTGGCAATCCTCACGATAAAGCGGTGACTCAGTATGTCGAGTGGCCCGGGTGGTCACTTCCGGCGCCGCCAGCAGGCGTCCCTGCCCCGACCACGAGGAGAGCTAGTGTGACTATAAAGGCTTAAAGCAGCGAGCTCCCCTTCTCCCCCTTGGGCCTTGCCCCTTCCGGGAAACCGGTCCGCCTCTATCTAGAAGCACAGAATACAGAAATAGGGGAAAGAGCAAATACGGTGGCCTGATCCTTCCCCGCTAGTGCTCACCGCAAGTGATGTCCAAGTAAATATACATGAGAACAGATTCACAAAATGGCAAGCTGCTGGTTTCAATGACTGTGTTGAGTTTAATTAGTCTTTAATACCGCTGAGGCCTCCTTGATGGACATCATGTGACTGAGATCTTCTATTGCTCTCCGTCTCCCCTGAGACAGCTTTGTATGGTAAATTGGGCATAGGGGCATTATTGAAACAGAGATTATTTCGGTGAGCATCTAGATTATTATGCGTGTGTGATATTGTAACCAATAGTGACTGCGAGTCTTACTGGACCAGGGGCAAGCTTGCCGCCAATACCACCGATGTCAGCCACAGCACTTGTGTAGGCGTTGTGGACAAAGGCGGCTGCTGGACCAATATAAGAGCAAATATGGGTGAGAACCTCGCAGATCTTCATACCCTGAACCTCAAGGCCAGCGTTTTGTGCAGCTATGGCAGAAACATCAAACCCCGACCAGCCCAGATTGACCGTGGAACCGAAGTCGAATTCACCCCAGGTCGAAGCGTAGCCGCCATTGCCATCAGCTGGAACGAGAGAACCGGGCGCTGCAGCCCATCCACCTTGGGAATCTTCGTTGAACGCGATGTAACGGATTTGGCCCGCTGCTAAGGCAAACTTTTTGCAGGCCTTTCCATACCATCCTCCTATGGTACCATCGGGCGCAATTTTGTTCCAGATTACGACGGTCCAGTTGTCGCCTTTACCCAGTCGCTCAAAACGAACAACATATTTATATCGGTGAGCCTGTGTAGCTGGGACTTCAATAACATTGCTCCCATATGGACTGCCGACGTTGCCCGAGTATTGCACACCACTGCCGCTGGATTTTGTGGACGCACCAAATCCGAGAATCGAATACTGTTCCCTAGAGCCCACGAGAACCTTATCTGGAGTTACTCGCGACATAGCGGTATTGTGGAGTCGATCATCGGCCTGAAAACAAATTCCAGGACTGCCAATGGCGATGATCCAGGTGATCCAGTGGAGCACACGCATACTGATCGAAAAATTAAAATGTTCGTGAGAACTGTGTGGCAGGCGCTCCCCTCTTGGAGGTCAATTTTGTCTTCACAAGACGAAAACAAAATGCATCAAAACACATTTAAAGGCCACATCACACGAAACACTTAATGATAAGAAGACCACACACAATCTATCACACATACATCAGTGGGGGTGTTTGTTTAGAATCGAGTTCGACACAGCAAATACAATCCGTTCATTACTTGAGCTCGTCGGGTCATGTGTATGGCTGGCTCGTTTTAACATAGAAAGTGCGTTTGATCGACCGGGGCGTTTTTTGGCACAAAGCTTGGGTTCCTTTGCGCTCTGAGTGTAAATATGTAAATATTTGCTGGGAAAAAGCCACCAGACCTCCCCTTAGAATAGAGGAGTCCACGAAGGGCAGACAACACCGCTGGATAGTGTTTAAGAGAAACCTAGGGAGGAATTGGGTGCGATCGAGAGCCGAGGCGTACTTGGCACTTGAACATAGGGCAATGTCAGTCTATCAAGTTTGCTCTATTAGACATCCCAAACGGTGCCCTAAATGACGAGCTGGAACGAGGTTCACCGACTGTTCTCTCGCTAACCAATTAAAGCGGCGCAGTGCTTTCGTGACTAACTGGCTAAATTCGTTCAATCCAAAGCCATTGCGGTGACCGACCGTGTCAATTCAAAGGGAACAATTTGCGTGGGTAGTCAAGACGGTTCATCATAAACAGTTCAGATGCATTCTTTTCCAGATTAATCACGTAAGCTAATAACCGGTATTAGCTTCATTTATGGTCCGCATTCATCAAAGGTGACTGTTGAAATTGACGGAACCTGCAAATGTCTATTTGAAATAATCATTCGGGATTCCGTCCACATCAACTAGTCATTTCCAAGACTTGCCTTCCCTTTTGTGTGACTGGATTCAGCTAGGTTTACACCTATGCCCCCACTTAAGAGGTTGGCCTTTCATTTCATCATGGCCAGACTATAATTCACTGGCCATAAGTTTCTCTGCGAGCTGAAGCATCTTTATTCTACCGGGTTTAACCAGTTTTACCAGAGCCTATCTAACTCATCGGAGTCCGGATCCATTGCTGGCGGAACTGCGTGACTTCCAGCACATGATTCTTTCCGATCCGAAGAAACGGCATAGCTGAATGGCTAAGATCGATTTAGACCCGGCGGAAAATGAAGATACGCAACCTCCGCGTTCTAAATCTTTGGCCGATGCATCCTAAATTTAACGCCGACGACAGATCCTGGTACGCGGTGAATCTAATTCAGTCAAATATTCAATTCATCTGGCCAAGTATCAGAGTAATATGTCTCTCTCTAGGTTGTAATCCATAATCCAGGGACTAAAAGCGTGGCAGGACCTTTCTAAACTGACCGAGGGCAAATATGCGCACGGAGATCAGGGCAAATGGTGGTCTCGCGAGTTTTGCCGTATATCATGCCGTATCGAATGCGAATGCCCTCTATGCAAGTGGACCGTATGAAGCTCTGCACCCTTTTCAGTCTCAAAGCCTACTCGATCGGGCATATTCCACATTTCCAATTTGGAAGTATCATGGAACAGGTTGTCCTGAACGTTGCAATAACTGCACGGATCCGGTGGCTGGAGAGTCTTCAGCAATATCCGGCACAATTTCTAGGTCGGGTTACGGTAAAAGTACAATACAGTACCTTCTCATTTTGTGACCTATACTCTGGGCCAATGACCAGACTAGTGACCTGATCGAGTTGAGGATCCTGTGACCTGTACGAACTGGAACGGAACTTACAGGGATCGAAAATAACACGGCAGTTAACCAAGGGAGCACGCGGAGTACCATATTGTCAGACACTTCATTTGCAATACTGCTTAAACACAGTATTAGTGAGAATGTTGATAGGCCCTGTATCTAGTAGAACCGTAGCCGACATATATTCTTTATAAGCCCAGCCGTCAGCCTAGGAAGCCTCAAATGAAAGGGATTTTACTGTCTCGTAATCTCGCAATCCAGGTTCTATCGTTAGGGACAACTATCTGCTTGCAAAAAAAGGAAGGACTCCAATACGGGCACTCTGGCTTTTAACCGTAAGCCGTTTATGATTATGCAGAGCGTGGTCGCTTGTTAATGTCTTCTCGTCCCGTTGAAACCAAACGCTCAATCCTTGGATTAGACATAGGGAAACTACACGTCATTCTCGAGGGCCGGTTAAATGAACCCATAGAAAAGCGTTCTCCGCTCAGGTTCCGACTGTGACCCATCTATTGTCTATAAAAGCTGGTCTCTAATCAGTATCAGGTGTTGGTCAAAGTTCATAATTTTAGCGACAACTGAATCTTTCGAAGTGCACCTATGACGCCGCCCAGTTCCTATGATGACACGTCTTGTAGCGGAGCCACGCTGGGCTCTCAGGATTCAGAGCCCCAGGATGTCTCAGACTCAGAACTTGACTCTGATTATGTCCCTTCGGAAATGAGCGAAGATCGAGCATTCCTAGCTTCCGATGCAGAAGAGCTCTCTTACGTCTCAGATAACAGTTCCAATATGGAGGATCCTGTAATGAGCATTATATACGACTACTCGAGCCGTGGGGATCGACAGGTATGAGCAGAGCAAGTGTGTAAGGGTCTGGCTCTTCTCACCACGTTATCCAGATACCGAGCCTCGAGAAGAGACCCATCAAAGCGATAGCAAAAAGAAATATTACTCGAAATGGCCAGCTGAAGACCGAGTATCTAGTCCTCTGGTGCTCTTGGGAAAGCTTGAATTAATGGGGTGGCAAGCAGAATCCGATTCAGTGAATGTACAACTTTCTTTGTCCTTTTCTACAACCGTTTCTAGAGTCTTCCCTATAGCAGAATTAAAGAATGTCGCCGAGTCGTGAAACTGCAGTTCCCTTTCCTGATTTACCACTGAACTAAAACCAAGCCATGGTTAATGATAAAAAGGCACAGACAGCAGATGTCAGCACGTGATCACATGGATTATATGAAGATTCGGTCGTAGCCTACGACCTCGCCAAGCGCGGGTTTGGGTTGGGTTTTCAACTTCTTTACCCGCCCACGGGCAACCCACCGCGGGTTTTGGACTTCATGTACCCGCCCATGGGTTCTTGGCGGGTACCCGCGGGTTGCCCAAAATACCCAAAAATGGGGATAAATCGTGAATAAAACTGATTAGTCACCTAGCGTAATCTTGGTATTTTATTATTGTCACGCTCTTGAGTGGGTATTACATTTAAACAATGCCTGCTCCTTATCAGAATATATATATAACGTATTCGATAAGCGAGCTGACCACCCCATGCGAGCTGGCCACCCACCTATTAAATCTACCATTATTATTGAATTTTTCAACCACAACATAAATTCAGTAAAATTGAAGCTATTCAGACATCTCCGGGCACCTATTTCTCCTATGTCCTAGGTTTTTACAGAGGCTGCATCGTTGTGGTCTCCTCTTATTGGTCCGATTCGGCGTCGGCGATACAGCTCTATCTCGACCTGAGCTAGCTTCATGAACTATTTCCGGTCCTGAAACTATTGACATAGCCTCTAGAACCGATATTCCACCTTTATGAGCTATTCGCTTCCTCGTACGCTTCCTTTTCTAGGTTGTTTTCGCATTGGCGGCACGTAATTCGCGGTTTTCCTGGCGTATAATCGTAGCGCCGTGTATAGCTAGATGGCAGCCTTTCACGATCTGCTCAAAGGCTTTTTCGGCGCGCGAGGGGTCCTCTTGTAGCATTTTCTTAATAGAGGAAGCTTGCCGGCGTACGTCCTTCACTATATACGGGGTTTTCGGCGTAAAATTGCGGCTAGAATCGCTTCCTCGACTCGGAGGAGGTGGAGGAGTAATAAGGCGTATATTTAGCTTCGAAATCACGCGATTCGGATCAAAAGGAGCGATACCAGCAGCTGCGAAGCTATTAAGAATAGTTTCCGGCTTAAATGCCTCTCTCCGGGCCCGAGGATAAGCTATAAGGAAGTCGTATTTATCGATACGACTAATACAAAGCTTTATTTGCGAGTCTACTAGCTCCCCGTACGCCCGTTTTAGTACCCTAAAATAGCCGATATCGAGAGGTTATAGGAGGTGAGAGGAATGCGACGGTATACAGATAGGTATAATATCGTTTTGAGAGCAAATCGAGTCAAATTGAGGCGTAAGATAGCTGCCATGACCGTCGAGGATAAGAAGACGATACCTCCCCTTCGTCCGGCTTATAGTCGATAGAATAAAAAGCTTTTGGAGCTAGTTAAGACCTATTTTATCGGTTGTCCATCCATTATTACTCAATTCGAAGCGCTAGTCTAATAGGAGGTTGGTATCCTTGAACCATGCCTCTATAAGGACCTTGCCTTTAAAAATAACGCATAGCGGAAGCACCCACCCTCCCGCACTAATAGCTTCAATTAAGGTCACCTATTCGCGGTTTCTAGGTTGCAAAACGGCTCTCCGACCGTACGTTCTCCTTATAATAACCTTCGCAGTAGCCGTAAGGCCGAGGGCGAAGCCAGTTTCGTCGAAATTGTAGATATCGTCGCCGACAATGCCGTACTTTTCGATCGTAGCTTTCACGAAGTTAAACCACATTAAAATCGCCTTTTCATCCTCGCATTGAGCCCGCCGGTAGTCGTACGATCGCGAGAATCGAGTAGAGAGGTCAGGGTGCCGTTTAACGAAGTTTTCGACCCATTTTTCGCCGACAGTAATAGGTGGAGTTGACCCGCGCGCTTTAAGTAGTAAATCAGCTGCTTCTCGTACTATACGAGGCCGAGGAGCAGCTCCACGATCGTCGAGTGAGAGGATCCAATTATAAAGCGATTCCTCCTCGAAAACAGTCAATTTATGGCTGTTGGCGCGAGTTTCGGCGCGATAGGTGATGCCATTAAGACGCGCCGAGAGCGTGGAGCGGGGGACATCAAAAACCGCTGCAGCTCTACGTACAGAGCTAAATTCTTGTTTCTGAATAGCTTCAATAGCTAATAAGATCCTACCCTCTTGCTCTACACGTTTTTGAGAGCATTGAGAGCGAATTGGCGGCATGGTAGGTGGTTGAATAGAGACAGTCTAATTACGCGGCGCGTTTTTGATGGGGTGGCCAGCTCGCATGGGGTGGCCAGCTCGCTTATCGAATACGTTATCTGCATAGCTCGATCTTTCTCACTACGTTCTTTTTTTATCCTGAGGGATACATAGCCATATCGATGAACTTACGAGGACTTAATGTATTCTAAGCTTACCACACTATATCAAGACAATAATTTAAGACTTGACGAACTAAACTAACGACTTGTGATGTTCTCAGCGCCCTCCTAAAGTCGCTCAGGTTTGGGTTGGGTTGGGTTTTGGGTACCCGCGGGTTTACGCGACTCACGAATAGATAGATCCAAACGCACAACGCGACTTCAACAAAAGCTACGTTTAAGCACTCAAGATGAAGAAATTAATTTTCAACCCTGATTACATGGACCATCAATATGGTGTCTTCTTCTTCCTCCTCGTCATCGCGATCAATGTATCAGGCTTTTAATCCTCTGCTCTCTATTGAGCCATCGTCTGACGTTTTCTTAGACTCGGATATTCAATCTTCTGTATGAGAATAAATTCCCTCCTTCGTGTCCTTAGCTGTCGCAGGATTCACCACAGGTATACTAAGACGGCCTACAGCCTTTCACCGGATCCCGCGAGAGCTACGATATAACCAGTCGAAGACCTCCGGCGACGCTAAAACGTGTGGGACCTCAACGCAGAAAGAACTGGATTTTGTACCAGTCGGCCCTAGAGAGAGAATTTCTAGGTTGGTGGGAGGAAACCGAGTATGGCCAGAAGCTGAACGGGGACGGTCAGTCCCAAATCAAATGGTCTACTGAGTCGCGTCACGCCGACGTTTGGAAACACTTTGACCAAGTAGCCGATATCGATTCTGGCCTCCCACGGGTCTTCTGCCAAGCCTGCCTTACTCTGCTTGACCACCCGCAGTACAAAAAGAACGGGACAAGCGCTATGAGTAGACACCAAAAATCCAACGCTTGTCGCAAGGGAAAGAAAAGAGGATCTCATCAAGCTCTGATCTCGGATTCGTTACAAAATCATTCCCTCAGGGAGTCACTCAGTGGGTACAGGGTAACAGCATTCCAACTTGAGGAGCAACTATTGAAGACTATCACCTGTCTTCGGTTGCCGTTTCAAACAGTGGAGAACCCTGTGTTCCAGAGACTGCTCAACCTCTTATACTCTGGACCTGGGACACTGGAATTTCCGTCAGCAAAAACCCTGCGAAGACGGCTCCGGGATGCGGTTACGGTTCAACAAGAGTCGCAGTTACTAGATCTGCCTGAAGATGCTAAGGTGTCACTTGCTTTAGATTGTTGGACTAGCCCATTCCAGCAAGCGTTCATGGCAATCACAGTCTACTTCATCGACAAAGCTTGGAACTACCGGGAAATGCTCCTTGGCTTTGAACCGCTACACGGTCCTCACACAGGGAGCAATCTCAGCGATGTTCTCCATCAGTTACTAAAGGAACGCAAACTCTTAGATCGCATCTTCAGTGTTACAACAGATAATGCGACCAATAATGAGACCTTGATCCGCGCTTTGCAGGAAAAACTGATATCCACTGGCGCGATTGGCTCTAGGGAATCTATTGTCCGGGTTCCTTGTATGGCCCATGTGATCCAACTTTGCCTGAAACAGCTTTTAGGGCATATTAGAGCAGCGCCCAAGAATAAAGAAGTGAGGACTTTTTGGTCTGACACTCAAGCTATTAGTTTAAGGGACTCAGCAAATCACGGGGACGTGGCTCATGCCCTGGCAAAGGTGAGCCTCGAGTCTTCGTAAGCGACTGCCAACACAGACAGAGTACTTATCAAGACAGATTCGATCATTCGCGGTGTTTGTTAATGCAAGCCCCCAACGGCGAGATGCATTTTTATGTCTTCAATCAGGCGGTACCCGGCTATTTCCGTTACATGATGTTCAAACACGCTGGAATTCCACGTTCCTCATGCTTCGTCGTGCGCGTCGACTACGAAATATCATCGACAAATACTGCTGCGATCATGAATACTCGCAGTTCAAGGTTACCGATGTTGAATGGCGACAGATTGACTACCTGGTCCACTTGACCAAACCGTTCTTTCGGTTCACTATGGCTCTGATGAAGACCAAAGATGTTACGATTCATAGCGTGTTCCTTGTGTATAGGAAACTTCTGGAGCATATTGAACGGTCAAATCGAAAATTAAAGAAAAAGACGACGCCTTGGAAGAAGGATATGTATACCGCGCTGCTTGCTGCGAGGCAGAAACTGAAAGAGTACTATGAGAAGACCTATCGCGACCACGGTTTTCTCTACGGCACGGGAACTCTACTTGCTCCTCAATATAAACTATCTGCTTTTGATGATAGGGAGTATTCTACTTGCCATGAGGAAACTTCAAAAAGGTATTGTGAATACTTGAGAACATGTTTCACGCAGTATCAACAACAAAACCCCGAACTATTGCTTCGCACAGTACATCGTGCTTCCGCACTGCAAAGTTCGGAACTTGATCGGCTGCTTGAACCAGTTGATGGCTTTATGCTCCATGAAGGGACAGAGCATGACGAGGTGGATCAGTATCTCAGAGAAGGTACGGCAACTAGCATGCTACACTTAGACGACTAACTGACTTTCTAATAGCAAATGTTCCCGTTCCACCACGGCTGTATTGGAGAGAACATGAGCGCGAATTCCCAGTGCTTTCTCGGCTTGCACGCGACTTGCTTTCGGTTCCTGCCACCGGCGCGGGCGTGGAACGGCTTTTTAATAGTGCGCGAGACATCTGCCATTATCGTCGAGGATCTCTTCATGAAGCGACTATTCAAGATTTGATGATGTACATGTGCTCAGAGAAATTCACCCTGGAGGGACAGCAGTTAACTCGCCTGATGTTTCTTAAATAGGCGGTCATGAGGTGGATGGGAATGGGAACTACGCCGAACAATGTGGAAGATGAAGCATCACGTCGCAACTCTCATATTGACGGGCTATTAAAATCCGAAAGGGAAGTTGCGAGGGAGACCACCAATGTTCTTTTACTTGGTACGTGCATGGGCCAGCTTAACTATCGGACGGTTTGCTGACCGAAGCCGATCTTTAGGGCCCGATGATACAGGCAAATCGACAATTATCGAGCAAATGAGGATCATATCCCTACATGGCTACTCTGAGGACGAACGGGAGGACATTCTCTACACTCATCACCAAAGTAATGGAGCTGCCGAGATCTCCTTTACACTGACCGACATCAATTGGCGCGTGGTGGATCTAGGTGGCCAATGTCTGGGAAGAAAAAAGTGGATGCATTGCTTTGAAGACGTGGATTGCCTCATGTTCGTGGTCGCACTGTCCAGTTATGATCAGTGCCTAGTTGAGGGTCATCGCTCTGTGCGTGTTAAGTCAAATGCCGTGCCCGACAACGATTTCTAATGCGAACGCAGAACCTGATGCAGGAAGCAATGAGGCTCTTCGACTCCTTGGCCAACAGCGACTATTTGAAAAACAAGCCAGTTCTCCTTGTCTTGGACAAACTGGACGTTTTCGAAGAAAAACTACATTATTCACCCATCTCTCGACACTTTACAGATTTCACCGACTCCGACGCCACCATGCGGGGTGCAGCGGGATATTTTGGCCACCGTTTCCAGCAGATAAATAGCACAAAGGGCCGTAAAATCTGCGTTCACTACACGAATACTTCTGACGCTACTTCGATAAAGTCGACGATGGCTTTAATGTATCAAATGGTTATGGCACAGACTCTTCGTTCCCATGGTTTACGCGACAGGTTTTGAAGTGGCGCGGTCTGTACCAAAATATTTCGCATGGAATTGACATAATGGCACTTAATCATCTAAAAGCGACAATTATGCTATCTCGCTGATAGGTTGGCTTTTGGGCGTATACATATCAGGAGCCGAGGCTTCCTGCAGATTGGCGGTGACTGTTTGCCTTCGAACTCCTGGAGGATGAGTGGAATGGGCGCGATACAGGTGCTGCAGCCGTCGTGCAGTACTGTGACGTATTGATTACGGCGCCAAGGAACAAATAAATCGGACAGAATTATGTTTTGCCATCCTGACCAAGGAAGATGTATACGTGACAGTGAAAGCTTACTTCAGGACACAATGTTCTCATTGACTTGTTTTTGCGGGTTCAAATTAACATCGTGCTTGGTGCCATCTTCGGGCCCAATCACCGTTCATCTGTAGCTTAAAGCCGATGTGAGTCACCTTTATCCCCAGCGATAATTTGAATCTCAAGGTGCATGGCCACGAGTTTCTCCTGCTTTTCCAGCGTCTGCCAGGCATTCAACCAGTCATTTTGAGGGCAAGGTGCAAGGTAACCGAATATTCGATGACCACTGGCGCTGGCAACGCTAGTGTCATGTGTTCGCAAGCGTGCCGGGAGGACAATAGAAAAAGATTCAATAAAAAAAGTTCAACAAAGATAATATGTGAGCAAAGATAGGTCAGCAACGCAGCGATGGTGACACAGTGCACGTTTAACAATGAGAGATTAACAATGCTCACAACAGACGGTAAATGGTGAAGGGTGGACGGTTAACTGCAAATGATCGACAAACAGTCAGCAATAAATGGTAAGCAGCAGGCGGTTAAGAAAAAGTTAAGAACAAGTTAAGCTGCAAACAAATGCACTATGGACTCCTGGGGTCAATAACCGAAAAGCACCCCGTTTGCGAATCAGTAGAAGGTCGGTCGTGCAAACCCCCAGCCCCCGAAATTTTGGCCTATGATAAATTGGCCAAAATGTGTACGGCACCATCGCATGCTTTGCCACTTCAAATTTGTGCGAAGCTAACATATCGTTGATTTGTCCATGATTAGTATTCCCCAAAGGCCAATTCATGAGAGGTGTTTAAAACGATATCTAATCGGCGGATGACGAGTGGGATGTTAAGTGGATCCATTTTTGAACTCAATTCTACGTATCTTCTACACCGGCTGTCCAGGGTAGCAATTGACCAGGCGGTGGGATCAAAATAAAAACCATCCTGTTACACACTGTTGTGTTGACCAATATCATTTTAGCCCGTCATCACCGATCAGGAATTAAATAATGTTTGTGTCGTGGTAGCCCCCACAATTGCAAAGATATCATAGCCAGCAAATTCATCTGTTCCATTCTACACGTGTGTGAAAACTGCTTTCTAAGGAATTTTACTGTCCATGATGTAGGCCAATTATGCGAGTTGTTCAATTGCCTTGACCAGTTACCTGAATATGGAACACCAATGACATAAGTTGTTGACGGGAGAATCGTCGCCCGTTTTTGCACTACCTGCTGACCTGGGAGGACTTTTATCTTCCCACAGTGGGAATCCCTCAAATAGAAATTGAAAGTTCCCGGGGGGAGCTACTTTTATACCGTAAAAGGGTGCATAACCCTTAACAAACCGGGTCTGTTAAAGTTATTTCATTGGTTTAGCTAGCCTAGTGGTAAAACACAAGCAACCGTGATGCCTAACGATATTTAGATAATATTGATTTGAAAGAGTTTTACTCTCAAATGCAACTGTAGTGGCTCCTAGGAATTGATGTGTTGCTAGGGGTGTCAGAGATCAAGCATATATTAGCTTAGGTGTTTGGTCGCCGACCAAACATTGTGCCTTTTTCGGCCAGATGGCGTAGTGGTAAAACCCAAGCATCCACAAACAGTCACAGCAGTAAGGAAGCTCCTAGCAGTACTTGTGAAGCTTAGAAGTTCCCAGGAACAAGAAGTACCAACCCACTTGCTGCTAGGTTACTCCCGTAAGCCCTCGGATAAGTGTCATCGACCTCTGAGAAGCCGTAGCCCTCAGAAGCAAGGTTTAGTCTAAGACAGTTTCATGATTCGGTATTCGTTTATGGAGCGCTTAAATGAAATCCCACGATTCATAAGAGGTATCATTGGCCAAAAGGACTAAGAGCCGCAACAGCACTATTACGATAATAGTATCATACAAGACCATACCTGTTTCATGTACCTCTCAGATTACAGATGTTCCAAGTATTGTGGCTTATCTGTATTATAGCGGTGGCTGTGCAGACAGGACGAAGCCCTTGTAATTACCTTACGTTGGTAAATAACAAACGGTTGTATTTAATACGGGCCCAGAACATCACTGACTAAGCTGAAGATCGAAAAATGGCCTGGCTATTTATCAAGTCTCAAGGCGTAATTGCACTTTCTGCGAATTTGATTTTCTAAGATTTAACGTGTCTTCAGAAATAATTCAAGTATATGGGAGTAGGTTGTCGGGCTTGTCCATATATCCACCGTAAGGGGATACAAAATGAAGTCCAAGTGGTTTTCAATGAGCTCGTTCATTCCTATTGATAGTGCAATTTCGATGATGCGGCTTGGGTCATACTCTGCAAGAGACCCAAATCACAACATTCTAAACCTGCCATATGTAATCCAACAGTATCGACCTGGCAAACATAGACAATATAATAAGATAATTAAAAACTGTAATCCAGATCTGCAACATGAAGCTAGAACGCCGCGGGCATAATGTAGAATACGGCCTTTTAGGTGTTAAGTCCGAACAGGTTGAAATTGCCACAGAATTTCGGTGTCAATTTTTGTTGGTCATTATCAGGTGCGCTTCATGGCAGCGAAAGTGGAAACCCAATGGAGCGGATTGTCTTGAAGAGGTTGAGAATGCTTTTGTACGCATAAGAATTGAGTGTAGAAAGCTGTTCAGTTGATGTTGGCTTTGCAGGATGCGCATCTTCGCTCGAATAGATGAGCTCTTTCTGTTCTCTCGAATATTATGTCTCGACTGAAAGTTTTCAAGTCCTACAGCCGGAAAAAGCATGGTCGAACAAGTACGGACCAGAGGCAAAAGGATGCCTATAAGTCAGAGTGAAATGATACAGACTGAAGACTGGCAAGCGAGGCTGATTATCGTAGCATGGCCGATAGTCAGATTAGGCACGTGCTCATTAGCGATAAAGGGGCGAGGGCTCATTTTGATGCGTATTCGTGGCATCTTCAAACTTTCTCTTTCATGTGTAATACTCCACCTGGGGCCTTCTGAGTTTCCGAAGTAGTACTATTGTGCCGTATGCTAAATCAGGTTAGGCCAATTTAGTGAAAGATTCAGACGTCTCACAGCCATTGGTCTATGTCCGTGCGGGCAAGATCGAGAAGAATGTGTATCACAGATCAAGCTTACTTGCTATCGTCGGTCCAGCTCAACCGGGGGAAGCACGCCATACCCGATTTACTATTTGCGTCGGGGTAACTGACAAAATGAGCATGCGCAAGTAAAATGGGTTTTGTACGTGTAGTGAGAGCAGGGAATAAGCCAAAATCCGTTCCCTCTCAGATCCCGGTGGATTCCATGCTCCTAAAATAAGTTAGCCACAGGCCCCTGCAAATCCACCCCACCCCCGGGCACAAGAATGAAAGTCACGTACATCTTCCCATTTGGCTCTTGACCATATATTACGAACTCGGAGCTCGGGCATATGCAGGACATGGCATTGCAACTCGCATCGGATGTGAAATATTGGATGCGATCAGTTTGTCGGTTTTCTTTGCGGCATCAGACAATCTGCATAATAGTTAGGCTTTTACTCTGGCTGAGGGGTTGAAAAGAGACAGACCTGGATTACTGAAGTTGCTAAACTTATGAACAGATTTCATGAGGCCTTGAGGAGGGATCGGTGTTTCTTTATATCCTTTGACTCTCAGAATTAGCGGTACCAGTTCTCGCGAATTGGTTACCAGCACTTGAGCTCCTAGGATCTATCCTGTCTCACCATCACATTGTGGCGGCGCGAAAGGTCTGGAAGCTCCTAGGAATACCTACCAGGCTTCATTTGCTTAGTATGAGGTGTTTTTTTTCCGGGGTGCTAGTTAGAATATCTCGGGCAAATGAGGGGTCGCGAATGCCAATATGGGAGGCTAGACCATCCAGTAGACATGGCCGATACGTCTAGAATGGTTTTGCAGATGTTCAGGTCGCTAGAGTTGAAGTCGTATTCCTAGGAGCAAGCGGCAAACAGCAACAGTGACAATCCGTCGAAGATCAAGCGGAAAAGAAGAACCAGAATAAATCACCCAGATTGGATTACAAACCACCTAATTGGGGGTTTCTGGGATATTCTTAGATTTTGTAAAACCGAAAATTGAGGGTGGGATATTTTACGCAACCAAGTAGAGACGGTATCGGGGATGGGAAACTCGACGAGTTGAATAGTGGCATAGCCGTAAGATAGTAATGTTAATAAATGTGGCCCCACTATGCTGTTGGAGACGAAACAACCAGGATCAACGGCCATGCCATCCTTTCGTTGTGGGGACAACGGTCAAGTGTGTTGGTCAAAAACTGCATTGGATGAGGCTAGCGTGGTGCATTTTATTGAGGTGAGCTACTGACTTAGCTGCTGACGAAGCTCTTCCTCTTCGCTCAGGTCGCGCTCAGTGAGCAAGTCAGAGCGGTCAGGTCACGCTCAGTGAGTGGGATCGGAATGCTCAGTGAGCAAATCAGAGCGCTCAGGTCACGCTCAGTGAGTGGGATCGGATTGCTCAGTGAGGGATGATCTGGCTTACGTAATGGTCAGGTGATGCTCAGTGAGCGAAAACAATGCTTATATAATACTCAGGGGTGTGCTCAGTTTTACTCAGTGAGCAAAAAGCGGCATGGGGTGAGCACTAAAACGGAAAGGGAAAGCCAAGACTTGCCAGACATTATCCTGTCTATATGGTTTACAGAGAACCGTCAGTCCACCATACTATAATTGAAAATAGAGTATAAGTGTAGACTTGGCCGCTATGAGGATATCAGGCTTCAAAGGAAATATTGTCTAGATCTATGACATACTATAAAGATCACCTATTATTCTACGTCATAGGCTCTAGTCCTAAACGTTATCACGATCAAATCTACTGGACTGTCTTGTGATAGTATCCTTCCCGCTTAGTAGGCTTGCACGGAGCCAATGATTCTTATTTGTTGCGAGCCCGCGAAATGCCCGACGGAACTCTATGGAGGTAAACCATGCTGGCCGGAGCTGCTTCGAGAGAATCCGCCATTTCCGCCCAATGATACGCCGAGAATTAGCCCGTAGCATACGGAACTCCCGTTCTTTGATGGCCTTGGCTCCACGCGCAGCCTCGAGCCGAACCCGCTCGGTATCCGCCACAGCAACGAATTTGGAAACGAGGACCTCGGTTACTTGAAAGGTTGGAAGGGCCACCGAGCCGCCTAAGCCCGGCAGGAAGTCTGTCTGGAGAGGTAGAATACGGGCAAAGACCGCGACACTGGCATCGGTAAACCGGGAAAGGCACTCGTCGAACGGGCTGTAGCCGGCTACGTTTAACACGTTAATGTTGATCGGTACCCTCGGGTTAGCGAACAGCATGGTAGGTGGATAGTCCCCCGCTAACCACTTGATCGCACAAAGCCGGTCTTCTCGGACGGCCACGTATAAGGGAATTTCGCCAGAGGTGGTTGTCGCATTGTGGTACTCTTGCGTGACACTAGCCCCTGTTGGCTGTTCTTGTGACCATCGTAGGTAGTCGAAGAACTTGATAAGAGTTGCCTTGGGATAGGGACAACGCATTGCATTATGCCATGAGTGCTCGTATATTGGCGCGGCAGCAAGACCGAGGGCATACAAGTGGTCGTTCCCACCGTGCCATCTATTGGCGACATAGCGTTTTTGCCACCAGATCTCTTCCGCTAGAGGCCGGTCTGCGAATCCACATATCTGCCAGCTCCTTCGGGGCGTGAGCGTTGGTATCACGTTAATTATGGCCTGTGTAGCGGCTCCAATCGGTTTCGTCGTATCGATCCAGAGATCCTATAGCGGCTGAAACACGGGAAGGTAACCCTCCTCGATAGCTTCATGTATAAGGGTATTGGCCGAACTAGACCCCGCTACTAGTGGTGGTAGAAACTGTCGACATAGCCGGCCCGCAACTTCGAATCTACGGATATACCCGCGGATAAGTTCGGCGAGGATTACTTCCTGGTGAGCCTTGATCGCTATATACTGGATTGAATTGCTATTCTTGTTGAACCTAAGTACCTTGGATCTGGTTATACACGACAGAAGGAATTTGACACACGGCAGACAGCCGGCACGAATAGCACCGGTTATAGCGTCGGTGTCGTCGATCGTAGTACCTGCCGGACTATCCTACTCGGCGGGAATATATAGGATCCTGGCTAGATATACCACTACACTATTAGCGCCTATAGTAGCTTTGTGTAGACGTAAGGCGTTCTCAATGACTAGTTTATTCGGCGCCGCCTTTCTATACCGGGTTATTAGCGATATAATCAGTGGAAAGGTAGAGACTAGATCTAGTGGAAGCGTAGTGAGATAGCGCATAGCGTAGATTCGGTTATAGTTGAGCGGTTTGGAGGGGTCGGCGATAAAGGCGTTGAGTTTGGCGTAGGCTTCCGCAGGATCCAGGTCTGGGTCCAAGTATTGGACCCAGCCCCAGACCCAGCCCGGGTCTGGGTCGAGGCTAGGTAACCCGGACCCGACCCAGGACCCAGACTGGGTACCCATTGGGGCCCCAGCAAAACCCAACTTTGCATAAAATCAAGGTCTTGGCGTTTATAAACCTGCTAACTAATCAATATGTAATCTTAGTATTTTTTGCTGTTTCAGTGAAAACTAACATAAATGAACTTCTTCGATAGTAATTCAAAAAAGATAATAGCTTATATGAATCGATGGGATATCCTTACTAGTTAATTACGCATTAGAATGTATAAATTTTGTAGTTATAGTGGTGTTTAAGTAGTTAGGTGAACTAACATGCTTCAAGTTATAGAAATATATTTTGAATCCAGCCCTAAGTAAGTGCAACTCTTTAACTCTAAAGTTTTACTGTGAGACCACGCAGCAGTCTCGGGGTAGGAATGGGTAAGCGAGGTAGAAGCCTAGTCTAATGCGTGTAATACAATATATTTTGCATTGAGATAGAATGAACGCTGGTCCTTAAAAGGCCTAGCGGAGAATGCTGAAGTATAACTGTGGGTTACGTGACACTTTATTTCGGCGGAAAAACTATCTCCTCTCGACTAGCCTAGTTGGCCTAGGCGGTTAGGTCTATGTAGTGGTCCTGACACTTACACTACTAACCTTGATCTAATTAAAAGAAATTCTAGGATATTAAGATATCATATATCGAATGAATTATGGAATTTTTATTAGTGGGAAAGTATTTAGTATTACTTAAAGTGCTAGTTTAATGGTTCAAAATTCATCGGGGGGTGGCCCCCCGATTAAAGTTGAGGGCTAGGTTGAAATTTTTTGAGATCATTCTTGCAGAATTGGGGTGGGAATTAGGTTATTTCTAGGTTTTCCTGGGTTATTGCTAGGTTATTGCTGGGTTATTGCTGGGTTATTGCTGGGTTTTCCTGGGTTATTGCTAGGTTTCGCTAGGTTTTACTGGGTCCGGCTGGGTCCTCTTGGGTTCCGTTGGGTTATACCCACTTCTACCCGCTATACCTACCAATTAGATAAAAGTAGTATATTTGCTTTTGACGAGTTGACTCGTTTATTTAGCTCTCTACTAGCTACGAAGCTACTGTATCTTCAAATTTTTGTAGGTATTGCCTTCCTCTCCTACCCCTTACTTTTTATAGAACATATTGTTTATTCATTCTATTACTATGTCCTAGAGTCAGCGATCTAACCTTATATCATCTATCTATGATAGAGATATAGGCAATCTTGGTTACCTTACCCCTTCAAACCGCCTTAGCACTCCTAATCTATCTATCAGCCAGCAAACATTCGATCTCGAGTCTATCGACCCTGAATTCCTTCGTCCAGTTATTCCCTTGGCACCCCCTACCTCCCTTATACGCGTTAGACCTAATCGGAGAAAGGCGTATGTTCTTTACGACGAAATAACTTATAGTGAATAGGTAGATTGGTGGCTACAGACCGATTTTGGAAGGAAGAAGAACATACACTAGGATTCAAGCCACTAGGCTGAGATCTAGAGCAAATTCGACTAGGTTGCATATGCCATAGACGGAGCACCAAAGGTTATATATAAGAATTGTGGCTAGATTCTTGAGCATCCCTATATTCTCCATACTCGTGCAGCCGATCAGAAAGCACAGTATCATGGCACATCCTCTATGTCAAAGCATGTTAAGAGTGCAGCATGTCAAAAGGCTAAGCGTGGACCTACAGCAGAGATAACAAAGTTTCTCAAAAAAGCGGTAAGTTCTCTAGAATTTGAAGACTTACACTTACTAAACTCCTCTAGGATGATAATACGACTATGGCTTCTTTCTCGCAAGAAGCCTAGGAAGAAGAGATTTTATCATTCCTATCTCTTAATCGACTTCTATTTCATCTTGTTAAGCACCCTAAATTCTAGAGCCTAATTCAGATGGCTCGCACTTCCCAATCTACTCCATTTATCCCCTCTGCGGATACGATTCGTCGCCGGCTACAAACTTCAGTTAGTAGCCGGCAAAAGCGTGTGCTTAAGCTACTTCTAGCTAGCTCAAAGATCTCTATTGCCCTCGATTGCTAGACGTCTCTATATTCACAGGCATTTATAGCTATCACTAGCTACTTTATTGATCGTGATTGGGTATATCGGGAAGTACTCTTGGATTTCAAACCTATTCATGGGACGCATTCTGGTGTAAACCTAAGTAATGCCCTAATAGAAACCCTTCTTGAGCATGGAATTGAAGACCGAGTATTTGGCTTGACTATAGATAATATATCAAATAACAAGACTCTCGTTAAGAGCCTTCAGCAAGTTCTACCAGAGGGTGTCATCATTATTCGAATTCCTTGCCTAGCCCACGTCATTCAGCTTAGCCTTAACTAGCTTCTTGGGTATATCAAGGCAGTTCCAAAAAATGATACTGCAGAAACAAAGTGGACTGAGCAGCAATCTAGAATGGCGCAAGAGAACGCACGACAATAGCAGCGAGGGGTCTCTTCTACACTCAACAAGATTCGCTACCTCGCAATTTATATCAACGCTAGTCCCTAGCGACAAGAGACATTCTATGGCCTATAGACCCAAAACGTGAAGCTTGCCCCAATCCAAGACGTGAAGACCCGATAGAACTCTACCTTTCTTATACTCCGTCGCGCGAAGAGACTATAGTCTATCTTCAGCCCTTTTTGTGAAGAGTATGCGCGTCTTGATCTATTACCCGACACTAAAGAGTGGCGTCAAATCGACTATCTTCTTCATATCACAGAGCCATTCTTTGATTTTACTTTGCAACTTTCAAAGACCCGGGATATCACTGCACATTATACTTTCAATATCTATAATAAGCTCTTTGAGCATCTTGAGCAATCAATAAAGCAGCTTAAGCGAAAGCGTGTTTTATGGAAGACTGAGATACTTAATGCGCTTAAAGCAAGTCGATTAAAACTTGATGAGTATTACTCGTAGACTGATCATGTTCGAGGGCATATCTTTGCGATCTACACAATGCTTGCGCCTATTAATAAGTTTCAATTCTTTCTTACTGATGATTGGGAACAAGAGTGGCGTGACTAGTATCGAAGGTCTTTCCAAAAGGCTCTTACACTATATCAAGCTCAACTTTCCGATAGCCAAGAGTCACTACCCTCAAAAGATCTACCTAGATCAAGCTCGAAGCTTGATAAGATGTTGAATAGTGGTAAAAAACAGCCAACGGGAGTCATAGATAAGTTAACACAATATCTTGATAGTGGTTAGTAAAGCTTATATATGATCTTTGTTCTTGACTAACTAGTTAATAGACACAGTTGATATCCGCCCTCTTAGCTTTTAGAGGGATAATTAACACCGCTTCCCAGCAATTGCAGCTCTTGCAAGAGACTTTCTCTCAATACCAGCAACAGGTGCTAGTGTAGAGAGACTCTTTAACACAGCCCGAGACGTCTGCCATTACCGCCGAGGAAGAATGAAGTCCGAAACAATTCAAGAGCTTATGATGTTCCTTTGTACTTCAAGATTCGATCTTGAAGAGCAGGATACAAAGCGCCTTAAAGAATTCTTCACTCGCGATAAAATTGAAGCAGCAAAAGAGGAGAAAGATAAGAAACATGACGAGATTGAGATAGTGCCAATAAGTGATACTGAAGAGCCTGATAAATTAGAAAAGGAGGTTCTAGTGATGGATAATATCGGGGATAAGACTTCTAAACCTCAACTGCCAGAGAATAGTACACAGCTACGAGCATTAGGACGGAAGCGTAAATAGCGAGAGGATGATACTTTTGAATATCACTAGATAGCTAATTCAACGCCTTTACTCCTTAATTAATACTAGCTTAAATAAGCATATTCTCTCTAGACTTCTACCAGGATTATAGAGAATCAAGGATAAGATGTAATAAGAATACCTAAAATTACAAGAAGAATTTGTATAATTTATGTAGTCAAAATCTCTAGCATGTTTGTCCTGTTTGTTACCCAATTGGGTACCCAGCACTGGGTCTGGGTTGAGGGAGGTAACCCAGAACCCAGTACTGGGTTAAGATTTTGGACCCAGACCCGGACCCAGCCGGGTCTGGGTCTGGGCTGGGTCCGGGTCCCGCTGGGTCGTGCGGAAGCCTAGTTTGGC